AGAGATGGCACGATGACAAACAAAATTACTGACGCAAACATCGAAAGACATTCTCATTAACAATAACGAACCACAAACATGATACACGACAGACAAAACTAGTTGTATAACATTACTCCCCCCTTTGAAAGACAAGCCCCCTGGCTTGATCTCTCGAAGGGGAAGAAACATAAAAGTATTTTAAGGCAGCACGAAGAATCAAATCAAAAAATTTTACTGAAATGAGTAAATCAAGTACCATCTAAGAAATAATGTCCCTGTCCAAGTTTATTCCGTCCATACGGTTCTCTACCCGATGCTATAACAACATTATGTACACGTAAAGGTCCTTCTCTTCTTTTAGTGTCAATCAAATTTTTTTTATATGTTGTGGCTAATAAACCCTCGTCAACTTCCATTGGTTTTGAAGAAAGCAGTCGCGTCACCATTGGTCGTGATAGTTTATGTGACTCCAATTCATTGACAATCTCCTCCAATTTCTTAACTCGAGTTTGAAGATCTTGAAAGTGTGGCTCATTTCTTTTGATGTTGCCAATAAAGGTAACCCGAGGTCGCTCTTCAGCTACCGAGGCAACAATCACAGGTTCATTTTGATCACACTTCTCCTGGGATGCTAAAGAAAATTTCCTGTCTCTACAATATTTGGCAACGTGACCAACGCGCAAACAACAATAGCAAATGGGCTGGCCATCTTCAGCACGATAGACATTAGTTCGATTCACGAAGAAATTTCTCCCATTCTCCTCTGCCAACCTCACCCTTTCGGCCATGTGAGATACAACGGTCTTTATAATATCCAACAGAATTTCACTGAATTGTTCTGTTGAAATCATTTCCATTTTTTTCTGCGAATTCGTCACGTCGTGGTCACCAATGTAAAATAACGTTTTTTTTTAAACCAAGGTTCTTCAATAGTGAAAGTATAAGAAAGTATAAATTAGCAACAACCAACGATTACAACATAACGACTTCTTTCAACGACAACTTCGACTCGACTGGACTTGCACTCAAAGAACATACGCTTTTAACAACATGAGTGACGCACACAAAACCCTAATGACACAAATTAACGGCAAATGGACTAATAACAACTAAAATAGAGATGGCACGATGACAAACAAAATGGACCGACGCAAACATCGAAAGACATCCTCATTAACGATAACGAACCACAAACACGATGCACGACAGACAAAACAAGTTGTATAACAGGTGCCAGTCACCAATTTGCCGACAAAATAGGGCGTGGCCTAAGATATTTCAATGTAGGGGTGTGGCATTTTGACGCAATTGATTTTGTTTATCAAAGAGGATGTTCTCGTTAGTCAATCAGCGCTTCAATTTTCGAGTGACTGTGGGTACTTGGGTTTCGAAGGTTTTGAAATAAGACCCAAAGACGAGGTCCCTCTGCAAGCGGAGCGAGCAAGAAATTTTTGCGACCACGCCCTTCAGATTGTCTTAAAATGCATTTCAGAATATTTCTTGCAGTCATTTCTTGCAATCGTTTAGAACTTTAAACTATTTTAAGGCATACCTACATTTCATTGATTTCATTCTTAAAATGGAGTTCATTACTACTTGAGGCCCCCTTGACCTCAAGGCCCTGAGGAACTTTGCCCCCTTTTCCTTCTTACAGTGGCTTCCAGTACCTCCAGGATCAACGTTCAGAATTTTTTGATAAACTTTGACCCTTACCTAAACCCCAAACTTTAGATAGAAATTAGGTCGCCCTGGATATTGGACATTAGATTCTAGACTCCGGCTGCCGAAAGGGAGTCATTTGAAGTTTTTGGGGGATATTTGCCCCTCCGGGACACCCATAGCGCTATCTTTTCCTGTTTTGAATTGCTGAGGACTTTTGGGCAATACTTTTAAGTTCACATCCTCATCTTATCCCAACTGTTCACTAAAGCTATTGCTTTGGGAACTTTGAAAGCAAAAGCCGACAAAACTCTACTTTTAGAAAATTTGCCGACAAGAATTTTCTAGGGGGGGTGCCGCACCAAACAATACGAGTTGCCATTTAATAGCGAAAATAAAAAAACTGTAATAATTTTGGGAGTGTCCACCGGGCGATCGCCCTATAGCCCGACTGGCCAGTCCGCCTTTATACGCAGTTAATACTGCACAACGCGTTTTACAGTTTTACAGCACTCATTCCTGTCTTGCTTCAATTCCAATAGTTTACTTAATTCTTTTTTCTTTTGAGATGTCTATCTTTATGTCTATTGCAACCCTTTAAATTGTTTGTAGACTAAAAGTCATATTTGATTGTACTGATATACACAAAGAATTTAATGCAGGTTATTTGCATCTCACAATAATGATCTTGCCCTTTTTCCAATTCACTATGCAAAAAAATCATACACTTTTTTTATCAGGTATTGGTATGAACAACCAAATGTACTCAACCTCGCTTGCTAATACCCGCAGAGTCAGGTGGACTTACCAGGGTAGACATACATGTTGTATAAAATCCGTACAAACCATGCCTGTTGCAGTCAAAATTGTGGGAATTGGTACCAATAAACAGCTTTACTCCAAGTCAGCCATCAATGCACCATGGTCCCATGTTCCTGGAAGCAGTAATGTAAGTTGCTTTCCTCCCAAGTATCTCCCGTTGCAATTAGTGTGTATTATGCTCCAGCAATATCATAAAATTGAACTTTCATGGCAATGTATAATACATTGTTGATTCAGTAGTTTTGGATACCACAGAGCCGTTCAAACCGCGGGAAAAAATGAAGACTGTCCCAATTTCATAAGAAATATTGATAAGTAAAGTGCTTATTTGTACCTCACGGAGGTGCCCCATATTTGCCTAAATGTGCCCCCCTACCAACATTTGAAATTATCACTGTACCTAATTGCCACGAGTGTTGAATTAGCGAGAGAGGACAACAACAAGTTTCAATTCTCAAAGTGATTAGACAGTATATGTTAGAATATCAGATTGTGTTTTACTATTCGTTAACAATGTCTTAATTAACGTGTCTTGATATTATTGGGGAGGGACAAACACCACTCCTGCAGGTCCGATGACCATGTTCTTAACGAGTGAGCTTCAGAAAAAAAAGCACTTTCCAACCTTGCCTTTTGACGAGCCTTGATTTGGCCACAGGCAAGTTAATTTCAAACAGTTTATTTCATTTTTTGTATTTACCCTCTTTACAGGGGTGTCGTCTCAAAATTTATGAGGGGGTGTGCTTTAAGCAGCTTCTAGAAGTCCCCCTTGCTAAACAAATGAGGAATTCTACATCCAACGAGTTTTCGATTTATTTTGCAAACGGATCTTGCTTTTATCTCACTTGGAATATTTCGACGATTATTTGTTTCATCTTGAGTGCAAGAGGTAATACTATACCCTTGTTGAGTGTGCAAACCCTATTTTTCTTGCCATGAGTATTCATGTATCACAGTAGCCTGTGCTAGTAATAGAGTAAATTTAAATTTTGATCACCTGTATGGATCAATACATGTGAATGTACTAATTGAATCAGTTGAGAAAATGATACTGATACACATATTCAATTTATGAGCCTTTTCTATGGACAATGGACTTGCTGGGATTGTAACAAGATGGGGGAAAGTTATTGACAGGGGTGCTGCACACTTCCTTTACAATTGGTTTTGAATTAACTTACCCTTAAATCAATCTTTTTCAGTTAATCGGCATCGCCCCTCTGATAAACAAACAAATTGTTGGCATTCGAACAAATCACAGGATGTACACCAAACCATCAATAGGGGGTAGTAGCCCATGGAGAGAGGTTCCACATTCCTGTTGCGTAAAATCGGCTGTGCAGTTGAGCAGCGGACGCGTGATTGGAGTAGGATTGGGCAATCAACTTTGGCATAGAGCTGGGATTAATGGCAGATGGATTCATATTCCCCATTCTGGCGCAGTTACAAGAATAACTAAAACAGGGAATGACGCAATTATTGGCATCGGGATGGACCGAAAGTTGTATATAAGGAGTCGTTACTACTCCAGATGGAGCGGACCGTTGAGGAACAGTGGCCAAGTCATTGACATAAGTATGGGGTCTGATGGGTACCTCTATGGAATTGGCACAGACTACAGGTGGGTCATTTCATATCAGCAAAGAACATTTTGTAACCCATCGCAGACCTTACTCTCCTTTAGTGCTGACGTTACAGGCACCGCGCAGCGTTGAGAAAACCGTATAAAAAGAGGCTTTTCTTGTTTGATACTTAATATTTGGCATATTTTGCAAAAAGTGGGGGGGGGGGGTACCCTGGGTGCCAGAGCCTCAGAGAGTCAAAGGATGAAGTGTTTTGAAAAAGTGTTTTTAAAATTTGAAAAAGTGTCCTTTTCCTGAGAGAAAAACTTTGAACAAGGCCCTAGCGAAATCCCAGTCAGTTTCCGTTATTTAATTTGCTTTGAAACAAGTCAAGCTTTCCTATCTTTCATTCTATATTTTCATGCCTAGAACCCCCTTGCCCTTCTATGTTTGCATGGGATCGGGATAGTTTAACGAGCACGTTAAGGGCTACATTCTGATTTCAAAAACTTTTGTTATATTTGGGTGTGGCTCTTATAATACAGGTTTTGTTTAAAGTGACTTTCAAATTGTGCCCCTTCCTACGCTATCAGCTTAAGATCCTCTAATGATGATAATTCAAGATATTCTTGAACGGTATTTTGTCAACCCCATGATCCCACGCCTGAGATTCTCGTTATCAAGCTCTTATTACAGAGTTTTCTTTTCTTATAGAGTTTACATGAAGACCAGCAGATCACTCAGTTCAACATGGCGTCCTCTTCCTGTTCACAACTGTTGCGTCATCGGCCTTGCTGTTAACTAAGCTATGACTTAATTACCTTATTTTTTAATCATTTGGCAGATCATCGTCAAAGTCTTGGTGACGATGCAACTAGTTGTTAACAATATCTGTTAGTTTTTTAATTCTACTTTTCGCACACTTTTTTAAATCTATACACTTGAAGAATACAAAAATGGTTTTATTATAGTAGTCTTCTATTCTAAAGAAGATATATATTCTGAATTTGACCGTATACGTCAGAAAATGTCCCGAAGATTTGGTGCTATTGCAAATGTAACCTGAGTGTTTGATGGTATTGCCAATGTAGCCTGAGTGTTTTGATGGTATTGCGAATGCATCCTGAGTGTTGTAGTAGGCTTCCTAAAATGCCAAAGTTTGCCAAAAGTATTTTAACTGATTGTCTATTCCAAATATCAGAGTCAAGAGTGAAGAATTTTGATGCACAAGCAGTGCAGCAGAAACAAATAAAACTATGGTTTCGATTATTTAAGCAATAAAGCAATGCAGACGTTGCGAAAAGGATTACACTATTTTCATAAGAACCTTTTTTCAGAGCTTACTGTAGCTTCGAGAGATACTTAATTGTTCAATGACTTGATATTCTTTCTTTATGTGCCACGAATCAATTTAATGAAATCGTAAACTGTCTTTTTAAGAGTCCTAAGAATCACAACAAATGATAAATCTGGCCAGACCAGGTCTTTGGATTTTCCCATCTCTTCTTTACAGATGGTCATTTGAATACCTTCAAACAGATTTTAAGCTGACGAGAATTGTCTTCCGTCTTCTGGTACGCGGATGTGGTTTACGTAAGATAAGGAACAAGTTTCCTGAGACGATTGTAACTTTTCTCTTCACGATAGTATGTGCCAGCGAAGCCTAAATCAAAAAATGGGATGCTGTATGGACTTTGTAAAATTTTTAGGTATTAGTTTAAGAATTTTCCGCAAAAAAATTTGTGTAAACATGTTATCATTAAATTCAAAATGATTGAACGTGAGATTTAGCCCTAAAAGCCTAACGTTTGCAGGATCTTGAGTATAACCTATTCGTTGATAATTTTTTCTCCCATTTTGCAAAAAGTCGCATATAAAGCAAACAAGTTGGTGTAAGATCGATCTATTCTGGGTCCGTGCTGGTGTAAACCAAGGTACACATCAGTTTCTGACTTTACCTGTACCCTTCAAAACCGTTCCAGAAATAAAAATCAAATGAAATAAAATGAAAAAAATGGAATGAAATGAAATTTTTCTAAAGTGACAGACCTCTTGACCGTCTTCATTGTCATGTTGCAACAGGAATAGATTTATCAATTCTTATCAAGCTACAACTACAACTTGAATAGATTCTTATGACGTCAAACTTCTAAACTCTACATTTTCGAAATGGATCCGAAAGGAACCTTTTTCGAAATGCATCCTCTTTTGCTTCCTATTTGCCGAAGAAGGATGCTTTCCCGATGACCTTTTCTATCAAAAAACGTAGAAAGAATACCTTCCGTTTTAAACTCTTTAAAAGCCTGTAAGCTGCCATTGACTTACTAGCCTGACTTCTCTCTCAAATCACAGAGACATCTACATTGCTGCTTGAAACAGTAGACAGGTTTTGTCAGTAACTGTTATTGATTTGTTGTGTCATCGTACAATCAGGCAAGTATTCTCAAGATTTCTTTGCATTTTAGAGGACCAAAATTTTACAACGAAACTTTATTTTTCTCAGTTACATAAAACTATTGTGAATTTTTACAGCCATAAGCTGAATTTTTAAAAATATATTTTGATCTATAAACCATTGTCTGCCTCTTGCCATGCCTTAGTGCTTAGTGCAAAAAGAAAGGACTTTTTTAGATGATACTACTACTTTACTACTTGTTGAATACGATTTGTTGTTTTAATGTGCTGATTGATTGAATAATGTTTAGTACTACTAATTTCTGAAAGGTTTCTGGAGCACCAAAGAGGTTGATATAGGCAAATAACACACGAAAATAAAGAGTACCGTTTACCGAAAACTCTTCCAAATGCAAACAGAATGAAAAGAGGTTTAATATAGCGTAGCGAACAGACCACCTAATGAAACAGAACACGCTATGTAAATTAAGCCAGAAATTTGTACCTGATCGTCTATAAAAGTGATTTCCACCTCATCTATATCTGTTTAGTTTATGTACTTTTTCTTTCAAAAATCTTATGCCTTTTAAAAAAAAATTATAAATTTTAATTTACTTAGTTTTGCATGCTTTAGTGACTAGCGGTGACATACATATGAACAGAACGCGCAATTTGCATGCTTTAGTGACTAGCGGTGACATACATATGAACAGAACGCGCAATTCGTTGTGAAACAGTCTCAATGACAAGAAATTGCGTTTCTTTTTCTCAACTTCTAAACTGTCTCTTATAAAAAGATTAACTTATATACGTGTATTGTAAAGTAAAAACATAAAGAGCTTCCGTCAAAAAAAGCTCAGTTGAAAACATTCGTAGTTCTCTAGATGCCAAAAAGTTAAAGTCGTTTATTTCTGGTAAACAGGAATAAGGTAAAGAGAGTTAATGAAATGAAATGGATGAGGCATTTCAGTATACAGGCCAGATCCCTTTGTGAGCAGCAATTTATGGGTGAAAGCCACTTAGTCTTAAAAGGGGGGGGGCAGGCCTCCTTTGCATACGTCTATAGACAGGTTGCTTCTCAATTCTTGCTTGTGGAGCGTGACTAAAGTAGCCTTCATCATAGAACATCAGCCTTCCTACTTGTTCCGATGATTGAAAAAGAGCTCCTTTTCCAAGATAAGTGCTTAATTTGAAAAAAATTCCCTTTTCACGAAGATAGCTCCCTGTTTAGGATAAGATGACCGTTTTCTAGAAAGGAGGCCTTTTTTCAGAATTAAATCATTTTTGGTTTCCAGATTTTTCTTTGTCAAATATGCTCATTTTAAGTCGGAAATATGCTGTGGCTTTAATTGACGCGCTAAATTTACATTAAAATGGGCTGAATCTAACCCTGAACTGAAGTTAGTTTGATTTGTTAACATCTTCCTTTCCCCTACCCTTCGAATCTGAAGGGGTCAGCAATGTAAATCAAGTTTTCTCTTAATACCGTCTGGCTGCAATTGTGGCAGACATTTTGCTGATGCTGCTTTACTTGTGGACTTTGTTTCAATGTTTTTGTTGCTATCTAAATTGTTTTCTAAATAATTTGAGCAGATTTTAACATTTTATTTAGCGAAAAATGGGGAGGCCATGGCTTCCTGATCCCCTATGGTGCAGGCCCTGCTACTGACCTGAAACAATACTTGTAAGAACAAATTTCATTGAGTAATACTTTTGCGAGTAATAATTATCATAGATATATTGCGTAATAAAGTATGTTTTGCATATGTTTCTTGCAGGAATGAAGTGGACTATTGTTCTCGGATTTCTGTTGATTTCAATGATCATGTTCCAGTCTACGTCAGAAGTTGATGCCAGCCCAGCCTTCTGGGGAGGGCGACGACGCAGGCGCACTAGTATCTCAATCTCATTTGGGACAAGAAGACGATCGGGAACTCGACGCTGTATCCCTGGATGCGTTTGTTATCAGCAGCCAGGGTGTCCTTGCTGCTAATATTGTAAGAAATATAACTCGCAGTATTTTGTTTTTTTACTTTAAATTCAAACCCATCAAGAGTGCTTGGAAGCCCCCTTAAGTTGTTTCATTGACACTTTGCTCGACACAAGAAAATATCTACCCTGGGTGTCTTACTCACTCTAATTAAGAATCCTCTGACATTTAAAGCCCATTTAAATCTTTGGGACGTTGTTTGACATTTTGAGTCACATCAATGCTCACAACTTAACAATTGATGTAAATGGTGTTCATGTTCAAAAGGAATATTACTAAAAGAAGTTATGTTTTTATTTATTCTAGAGCTGTGCTGCAGAAGAGGACCAAAATGGACTCGTAGCAACGAGGACAATGTCTTTCTATAATGTTTTAGTCCAGTAGAAACATGGCTCTATAAAATATTGATGTTATGTTGAGTTTCATTACTTTAGCCTAGATCTTGGTATATTTTTTCTGCCTTTCTAAATGGTGTTATGATGTTACTAAAAAGTGTTAGTTGATCTTACTTTCTGGCATTCATCTGTCGATATTCTAGGTTTCGCGTAACTCCTCGATCAGTAGTGTAGACAAGAAAATTCATCGGAGGGGCGAAAATCTACAGGCGTTGCTATTTTTCCATGAATTTGTAAAATTTTCTGCATTAGTGCAAAATAAAAACAGAAGTTAAACTTTTATCACTTATTCAAAGTCAAGTGTCACAAATCATACTACTTGAAGCATGGGAGTGGTAAAGATTTTGACATTGGGGGCCCAAAATTTGTATAAACTCATGGAAAAGACTATATTGAAAAAATATACAGATGTAATGTACAAACATGTACAAACCAACCCAGTCATGGGGGAGAGGGTTGAGGCAACATACTACCACTATTTTTCCTCAATCTCCAAACGTTTTAGTTAAGGGTCACTCTAGGATATGAGGGGGGCAGGACCCTCCTCTACCCTCTTTCTACCCCCGGAATTTAAGTCTTACTATTTTCTGGTCTTCTCCTCAAAAATGACATTACCTCATTGGAGTGCCTTACCTAGTTGAAAAATTGCCAGTCTGATTCAGATAAACGGTAGAAGTCGTTGTTTTACCGAGCTTTATCATCTTTAGCCATAGTTAATTTACGTGTGTTATTCATTGTTGTTTGTTCTCGACGCATTGCGGTGTTCCTTTTTTCTACATTTATAATCTTTCTTCTCAAAATGTAACACTTGTTTTGTTGTATCGTTGTAAAAACTCATATGAAATGTGCTGAAGACTTCAATTCAAATAATTCATTCGTCAAATTCAAATAATTCATTCAAAAGAATGCATGGGACAGTTTGTTGAATGTTAAATATATAATGAGAATTTATTTGTTTGTTTGTTTTAATAAAATTACAAGTTCAGTGGTTATTAGCGATGGAGGAGAAAACTTTGCAAGTTGTGAAAGAGCTGGTGGCAGTACAGGAACGGGCCTACAAGAACGCAATTGAAATACTCTTTTCGGAGGTGAAAAAGACATTAGACACCTGAACAATGAGATGCAGGAAAACTATCTGTTCTGTTGTGTTTATCGTCATCCAGGTTCAACTTTTGATACCTTTAGTGAATATCTACAAGAAACTCTGTCCAGCCCTGCTGTATTTGATAAGCATGTTTTCTATGGTATCAGGTCAGTGCGCTATTGCGGAGCTAAATGCTGGAACGACATTCCTGTGGATATAAAGAAATCACCCTCTGCTAATATTTTTCGACGAAAACTCAAAGCCTTCGTCTTTCAAAACCATTACCAAAGTTGATTGTAAACTTATTGATATAGAAAGTCACCATCTGCCCATAGTTTCTTTTATGCCTAAAATAATCAAATTTGTCTTAGAAATTTTTGAAACAGGGGGTGCTCTCTCCTTGATTAGTTTAACTACTGAGAGAGCTCCTCCTTTAAGTAATTCCCCCCACGCAATTTATCTTGTTCTTTGTTCGGTATTTGTATGTTGTATTAATTTTAGGTGCATTATTGTTATTATTGTGTTTAGTAAATTGTTTGTATTAATTAGTTTTGTTATGATAAATTGTATGTGGCGAATTTAAAATATGAAACTGAACTGAACTGAATTCGAGATAAGTACGAATGGCATAAAATGAATTTGGATTTTAGGTCTCCCCAAATGAAAAGAGTGACACAAAGTCTCATTACACCAAATATCCCGTGTATTTAGTTAGATAATATTTGATAGCATTGAGATGTTAATGGTAAAAAAACCCTATAAGAGCACCCAAAGGGGTGGTTTGAACAAGTTTCAGTTAATTAATTTTCTGATTGATACAGTTTTGTCCTCAGTCCTGCCTGCGTGTCATCAGAATCTTTGAGTAGGCGATTGCATTCCAATTGCAAACATTTCAAACTAAAGATAAGTGTCCATGATTTCTCAAAGGCCGTCTTCGAATTGTCAAAATATTTTCTGTACAGAAGAGTCCTACTTTCAGCTTAGAAAAAAGGGTGTGGTCAAAACTTTTGATGAGTTCTTAATGAACCCCATTTAGATAATTTATTGAAAGGGCCCCTCTCTTGAACTTTGCCAAATGGTCTTAAAACATCGTAGTGGCATGGTCACGTCACGCTTTCTTTTTCCGACAAAATCTTTCCTCACTTTTTAATTTCGAGTTCTACCACAGAAAAGAGATTGCAATCCCTATTCTGTGGTTCTACATGATGAAGAAGCCAATGGGAGTCTGGTAAAGACAGCAAATTTCCCTATCGATTTACATGAGGTACTTAAAAAGAGATTTTGGATCTGTTCGGTTTCGACATAAATTTCGATGTCGAAAACAGAGAGCTGAAAATGGCACCATCTGATAGTCTTGTTCGTACTTTCATAAAGCCTTTGGCTTGGCTTCCGGTCATTATAATCAATGCAATTATCGTTTGGTCATATTTTGCATACATGGTTGTTTTTGGATTTGGTAAGACTACTTATGCGTTATTATGTTTTACGACACCGTGCGCTAGGCCCCCAACAACCAAACCTTCAAGAAAAGGCCAGTTGCAGTTAAAAAAATGCGAATATGAAATATTTTTCAAAATAAGGCAACTTAATATTTAATTTTCCAGCAAAACATAAGTAATTCTACAACCTCAAATTAGTCATCGTCAAACTGTTTTCCAATTCACCGTGCTGTTTAGTGTTGACACGCACGCATAACAACGTCTACCTAAATGTGTTACGTCGCCCTATTTCGTTTTCCGCATTTGATACTACTGTCCCTTAATTGTGTGTTGAAGCTGTACGTGTTTAATCGTTCACTGGAAAAAATTATGTTTGATCTTTTCAAAAATTGGTAATTTTTCAACATTTGCAGCATCTTCCTGGTTACACCTGCCTCTTCTTGTTCATCTTTTCGTTCATAATTTATTCATAATTGTTTGTTATTCCAAAATGTTATTGATTATGCCTTTCGAATGAATTGTTTTGAATGAGGCCTTCAAATCTGCACTGCTACTCAAAGTCCATCAAGAATGTCCATCATTTTTTCTGAATTTACTTATTTTTAATAACAAAAAAGGAGCTAAGTATCTATGTGATAGATTTTTCAGCCAAGTATATAGAGCTGGAATAAGTATGTTTAATTTTATTTCTTCAACCTACCTATTCAGTAGAGTGTGAAAAATTTTGTTATCCCTCATGTCTCATTCTATAGCATTTTGTTCCCTTATCCAGTGTCAGACTTCAAAGTTTGGGTATGCACGGGGAACGCGTTTCCAGGGCAATAATTTTTTGTTCTAATCCCGTCCGCCCATTTTTGCAAATTTAGATTAATCTGGGCAGTTGGAACAAGGAGACCTGCTATTTTGCAACATGATTTGTTCGCGTGCAAGCGTAGGCGGCAGAAAATAATTTAGGGGCAAATAGTCACCAGAATTATGTTCTGTAACTTCTTAGTATTTGCTTCTATATTTATAAAGCTGTTTTGCAATGTCTAACATTAATTCTTCATCTTACCATTAATTTCCAGTTTGTAATATAATGTATTTGTCTCACCTGTAGGCACAGTAAAAGATACTACTGAAAGAGGTATGTTTTAACTTTTCTTTAGAGAAATGGTTCCTTTTAGTTCAATTTGATTAATATATTTCATGCTAACATTTTAACTGCATTCTAAGTGTAGGATAACAGGCGAAAACAATTTACCTGTAAAACCAGTCATAGATGAAGTATTCTGAGGTTTTGGCAAGTCTAATTGAATTTGAATGGAACCCTTGCTGGAAACAACTGGAAAGAAACCTGAAAAATATTTTATCTTTTTGGAAACTCTCAGCTTGAATGAGATATATCCTTGTTTTCATGGAAAGTTTAAAATAAACTGTGATTATTGCTGGAATTAGTTTAAAGTGCTCAGCAACTTTGACATATTCTTTTTTGTCAGAAACATTAAAAAAGGTAGAGATTTCCTCAAAGATACAGTTTTGAGTAAAAATTTGTTCTCAGTTGTTTGTTTTCATTTTTTTCAGTGATATACTTGACCTTATATAACCCAATTTTTATCATATTCATGGTGTCATACTGGCGAACAATAATGAGCAATCCTGGAAGGGTCCCTTCTCAGGTAATGTAATTTCTCATTTATGATATTTCAAGGAAATATTTTTCTCACAATGAACTTTCTCAGAACATTTTCCTGAAAGTTCATAAAATTTTGACTATAATTTTCTCGCTTGTATTCCTGCCCTGCTCTCTAATAATCGCCCTTTGTTCTATACTCTGAAAAAGTAATCCCACCTTCAATAACCCCCCATGTGTGTTTAAAGAGGCACTAACACACACATTTTGTAATCATTAAATGATTTCCCAAATAATTAGAGATCAGTCTATTTAGAGGTTATGTACTTTGGGTGAACAAATTTTTGTGTCAAACAAGAGGGGGGCAGAAATGTGGGGGTATGATTTTGGTGGAAACTATGGTGCTAGAAATTGTGCAAGTGTGCAAAAGTGTCATAACACAGGAACAAGATTTGCTTGTTTATACTAATGGCAAACATTGAAGACTTTTCTTTCACTTTCACTTCCATTTCCACTCCAATGATCCATTGCGCTCTTCATCTTGATGAGAACTGCCAAATGACTTCAAGCCCATTGTTTCTGCACAGCACACCACAAAAGAAGCAGAATATAAAAAATCCTTATCCCAATTTTCAAAGTATCAAAGCTTCCCTTTCACATCTAGTACAGATAAACAAAATATATTTTTGGGCACTATGACCCCTCCGACCTGTAGCTCAAAAAGTATCATTGAAACCTTTGGTGCAAAAATCTGCATCAGTATCTCTTTAATGAAAGAGAAAATAAATGCATTGCAAATGTGCTTAGAGTTTTGGCTGAGAGGTTAAATCAATAAACCCACAGCAAGTATACAAGAGACAATATGGTATACTCTTTCATTTACATGGTACAAGTAAGAATTAGACCAACACTTTGCTAGAACATTCAAATACTTTTAGAAGGGGCGGTTTATTTATCATAAAATTTTTTATGTTGATAACAATCGTACATAGCAGTGAAGGTTATGCTGTCAGGTTGAGTAAGACCATAACAAAGTATCAATGTACTATTTGTGAAAAAGTTTTTTACTTAATGAAATATGTGGTCAACCACCCAAGGTGGGTTCTCGCAAAGCCCCCCTAGCCCAAGGTGCCTAGCTTTCCTCAATCATTCCATTGAGCCGGTTCTCGCAAGGCATCCCAGGGCGCAAATAGTCAAGAAGGAACTAACACCAAGAGTTAACCTAAACTCCCTTCCCCCACAGAAAAACCCCCAAGTGCAAACTGCCCCCTGCAGACACGTGGCTTTCACAATAAGAGGCTCCCGCCCGTAAGAAGCTGTGGCATGCTCCCCCAGAGAAGTTACAGAAACCAGGCCCTCTCATCATCATCATAGTCTTGGCCATGCCAGCGTGTGTTGGACTGTTATTGATGATGTTTCCCACTCAGTCTTGTGCCAGATTCCTTGTTTGGAAGATAACTTTCTACATATTCTAACAATGTTTTTCATGGACAATTGTAACCTCTGCCATCACAAAATTCTTTCTCAAAAAAATTTGTAAAAGAAATCACTTGCACTCCTACAGAATTCCGCGGAAAAATCACCCGCTGTCCTATGTGATTTTTACTCGCACACCTGTCACAAGTACTAGAGGGCAGAAAGCCTTATCCTTTCCCCCGTTTTCTGCTCCCTGTTCACCAACAAATCTCCAAACTAATTCTTCTCGTAAAATTTTTATGGAATGTCAAGAAAATTGCTAAATTAGAGCTTGGTGCTCTGAAACAAACAATTCAGCCAGTCTGCAAAAAGTATCATAATACAGGAAACTTTTAGACTTTTTAGAGGGAATTTAGGTAAATTAGTTCTATCTACAATCCTTGCCCAAAATAACTGGAATGCCTTCCCATTGCAGCATGCAAATAAACAAAGCAAGTCTAAAACTACCTTACCAAAATATCACTGTCACTTTAAAAACTTCAACCCCCTCCCCCCATACAATGTTGATTTATTTTCTCAATACCTTCATACAGCTTTTTGTGAAGAAATTTTTACCTTCAGGATCAAAACAGCCCAATTGAACAACATTGTAATGGGGGGTAGGGGGGATTTTTCAAAAAAAAGCTTGAGCTTTGCGCAGGTATTCCAACAATTTTGGCAAGGATTGTAGCTTCATATCTGCCATAAAAATTTCACTTACAACATGACAGGTATAGGTGCAAAAATAAAGTAAAAGAATTTCCTGTAAATAATACGTTGTTGGTGATTTCAAATTTATATTTTGAGCATTTTTAAAATTTTGGAGTGCTGGCGATGAAAGGCCACAGTGAACATGTTGCAGTCACAGTGAATTCTCGAGTCACCGAAAAGAGCAGGGTGTCAGCCATAGTTTTCTGAAGCTTGTAGAGTTTATTTGAAGTGCACATAAATGGAATTTAACATCATGTTTTCATATTTCAGTTTTATTTGTCAGCGCCTGACAAAGAAAGATATGATTCAGCTGTAAGTAGTTGTTGATGTTATTGTAAAGTTCCCTGTTCACTTTCCATATAGATTAAACAAAAATCACTTGACTATTTTGTATTTTTAATTGAAAAATTTAATTTTCCAATAAATGCCTGTTTTCCTGAAGTTTGCTAATAGGAGAACAATGTGCTCGTTTAGAGGACTGCCCAAATCTTGTCTAGTTTTGAGATTTATATGTTTGTTACCTTATACGTTGTTTGAGCATTTTAACATCCCCTTTATTTGATTCACCCCTTTATCTGATTCTACCTAGGCAAAATCAGTAAGCAAACTGTATGTATGATTGTGTGACAATTTATTCCCCTTCTACTATCGAAAAAACAGACTAGCTTTTGAAGACTTACCCCACAAATTGCAGCTAAGCTTAAATGTAGATGGTGTCTTTTAACATTAACTGTTAACATGTCCAGAGGTAATTTTATGCAGGAACTTTTTTGCAAGAAAGCATCATTTTGTTTTTTTTTGATAATTTTCTTTGCATAGGTGTTGTTTATTGTGTTTTAATTTCAACAGAACAATGCTGAACGATTGCGTTACAATAAGGACAATAGCGCACATCTTTAGAAAGTGTGCACGCTGTTGATTTGATTTAAAGTATTGACAGTCACAAGTTGTTTTTCGAAATGCAAGTAGTATTAACGTTGATTAAATTTCAAAGAGCCTTAATCAGGTTATCTGTATAAGATGTTCTTTAATACTACTAAATTAGATGCTCTATAATTCTACAATATAGGTACTTTTCTTTTTGTTAAAACTTTCAAAGGTTGAAACTTTTCTTCATAAAAATAAGTTGAAACTTTCCTTCACACATCAAGTATCTAGTACAGTGTTTATAAATTTCAAAATTGTTTGTAGGAAAACCCACAGGCTGTTGTTAATGAGCTTGGCAAGAACCTACCAATACAAACAAGATCAATCTCTGGAGGTAGTGATTTGATTTTACCAGCAGACAAAATTTATGTGTTATAATGTACAAAAAAATATGTGATGTTGTCATCTAAAGTCATCTAATTTTTTTTGCCAGATTTCGTTTTAGCAAAGCATGCTTAGATTTGTTTTTCTGACTAACTGTAATTTGTCGGAACCCTTTTTTCCTGCTTATAGGAGCACGATTTTGTGAAATTTGTCAGCTGATAAAACCTGATAGATGTCATCACTGTTCAGTTTGCAACAGGTAAGGTTAAATTGATTTTGACATTGAAATTTTTCATTTTTTGTAATACTATTAAGAATGTTCTGAAGTTTTAATAAATAAAGTTTTAGATTAGTTTCCATCTTTAAATTTTGCTGTCTTTATATGAGTCAAACATATATCTGCTCCATTTCAAAAATTATAGTCTTTTTTATACTCTTCTGGTTTATTTGAAATAACAGCCAACCTTTTACTTTCCTTCATATCACAGACTACTTTCTTTTTTAGCTGTGTCTTAAAGATGGACCACCATTGTCCATGGGTGAACAATTGTGTTGGATTTGCAAACTACAAGTTTTTCTTCCTGTTTTTATTTCATGGCATTATCTATACATGCTTTGTGTCATTAACAACATTAAAGTATTTCCTGAAGTTTTGGCAGGTACTTATTTCCTTTGCTTTTTCATCTCTTTTCCTCTGTAATAAAAGACAAATAGATATTCTTGTCTATTGATGATTGTGAAATCAAATTTTTTCAAATTATCTCCAGCTTTTAATTTTACAACATCATTTCCAGCTTTTTCCCAAGGCCTTCAGAAAACTACATCACATCTGAAATATTATTAATGAGCCCAGCTGTGACCACCTGGGAACCACCAGGTGTAGTTAAAACTGCACTTTTCAATTTTGTTCGAGGTTTAGGCAAGTTAATGAAGCATTGTTTTTGGGCTTCCTCAAACAGACACTAAGATAACGCATCTTTATGAATTATAACACATTCGATAAAGATACAAAAAGGGATCCACAACTGCTTTTTCAGATAAAGTTAGCACAACTAAATTGGTACTGGTCTTTTCTGCTCACAAAACTTGGAGTAACTTCTTAGGAGTGGTGATTTTCAATGAGAGAGGAAAAACATACACTAATAAAGAATTGAATAGAAGAAAGCCCCTTTGAAGCTTTGATTAACCCAACAATAATTATAAGATTTTGAATGTTATCTGATCCAGGTACATTAAGTTATACCAGTGAATAATCTTCTTTTATAGGCTGCGGTTCCTAAAGCAGATAGCAGTTTGCATGTTTTATTCTTGTTCTTCATTGGGGCAATGTTTTTTGTCAGTTTGTGGTCATTGTTTGGGTATCATATCTATCTTGCATTGCATAACAGATCAACACTAGGTAAGCTGTTCAAATCTTATTTTGCTACCAGACTACTAGTATTTATATGAAAAGCGATTTACCAAGCATTTCAAAGCTTCTTTTCATTTTCACCAAGGTGCACCTATAGGAACACTGGATGATGGTGTTCCTATATTGACATTTGATTTTGTTGTTGCAAGGGCTGTCGTTTTTATGTATTTGCTCCATGCAAAAAACACAGAGCCTGCAAGCGAAAATGTAGTGTGACCGTTGCGTCTTGATGAATTTGCTGACTAAATTACAGTAAAGAATGCAATGAAATGCAGCAACAACAAAACAATATCTTTAATCAGCCACTGCAGCAGGTTTCTTTTGAAAGTTATTGCAGGCTGTCTGAAAGTAAAGCTGTATGAAAAACATGTGCTTTATAGACTAGAGGAAGGCATTTGATACAGTTGATCATGAAAAACTGTGGAGAGCACAACTGCTTGAGATTGGCTTTCCAACGCACATTATCCATCTCATAAAAGAGCTTTATGGCAACCAGAAAGTAGCGGTAAATACCACTTATGGCTTGACAAATCTCTTCAACATTGGTCAAGGAGTTCACCAAGGTTGTATAATATCACCTCATCTTTTTAATGTCTACTCTGAAAAAATAATGTGAGATGCTTTAGACGGGTTTGGAGGACCTGTAAAAATGAGAGCAAAAATTGTCACTAACCTCCAGTACGCTGATGACATTGCCCTTATTGCTGGATCCATGCAAGAACTAGAAGACTTCGTCACAAGTGTCAAACTAGCAAGTGAACGGGAGAGACTGATGCTAAACATGCAAAAGATGAAAGTTAAGGAGATGGCTGGTGATCCAGAGAACATTGAAATGAGAGACCTCACCACTGTGAACGGTGAAGTAATTGAAACAGTTGATAATTTGACAGCAAGGTTTGCAATGACAGCAAGGAGATCAGAACAAGAAATGCAGTCACCAGCCTTGGCAATATTTGGACTGCAATATCGATATCACACTTCAAACAAAAACACAAATTCTTCATACCCATAGTTTTCCCTGTAGCAACCTATGGCTGTGAATACTGGGTTCTAAAGAAATCTGACAAAAATTGGTTAAGTTCATTTGAGATTTGATGCTACAGACGAGTTGAAGAGCGAGAAAAAGAAATGAATGGGTTCTGCAGAAATTGGCAGAGCTTCCCTCCTTAACAGCGTCAACAAAAGAGAACTGTCCTTTATTGGCCATGTCGCAAGAAGTGAAGGTTTGGGAAAAGGGGATCCTGTCTGGCATGGTAAGCGGCAAACAAAGAAGAGGAAGACCATAGCATAAGCTCGAAAACGATATGCAGGAGGTTTTCTGATAAAGGCTCACTTTTGCATAAATTTTGGAGCTTTCTTGAATCTGGTCCATGCTTATACTCTAAATTGCTTAGTTATCGATTCTTTTGAAGCAAGTTTATTTTGGTTTTTGAAGTGATATCAATATTTGTAGCCTATCTCATAGATAATTTGAAAATGTTTTATTTCTTGTCACATTCAGGTGGACATTGCACTTGTATCATGTTGTATCTTAATTTCTACTCCCTGCATTTTCAGAGTCATTTAGACCCCCAGTGTTTAGCAATGGGCCAGACAAAGATGGCTTCAATCTGGGGAAAATGAACAATATTCGGCAAGTTTTTGGAACAAAGAAATCATTGTGGCTTCTCCCAATATATACAACGTATGTGCTTTAGTAATAATATTTGATATGTTATCAGATACCATTTATGCTAAACAAATGTCTTTTGCACAAGCAGTATGAAAGATAACACTCTTTTGGGGTTTTCATTTAGTTACAATTTGACAAGATGTAAATGTACAGTTTTTGTTACAAACCTATAAAGTTAAACATATCAGACTTTAGTTGGAGAGTATTTGCAGGTGTGTAGTGGCTCAAAGTAAAGAAAGTTGAAAAATCATTTGAAATTTTAATTTTGTTTCCATTTTAAACATATTAATAGATAATAGCAATGCACATATTTGATACAAAATAACAAGTTATGCAAATTTAGATTTGGCACTGTTGAAAAAATCATTTTTGACAGCTAAAATTTTTGAGGAAAACAAAATAGAAGATGTCTAATGCAAATAAAAGAGAATTAATAGACCAACATTTTTAATAGAGACCTGTTTTATTTTCTGAGCTTAGTCGAATAAGAAGACGTCCCCATTCCTAGTTGTCATTAGTATGACACAATTCACAGACACTAAAGACTGTCATTGGTGTTCCTGTTCTTGTTGTGATAGTTATTGCAGCGGTTTTTGTAATTTTTCCCGAATTTGCAGTTTAGCATTGCCATTTTATTTCCAGACTGAGCAACAAAATTGAAAGTGAAGGTTCTTTCAGGGGTGGCTGGGGGAAGAAAGAAAGTGTTGGTATTGGCCTGCAAAAGAAGGCCAAAACCCCATTTAGGCTGGAGAATTGTACAACAGGGGTGTAGCAAAATATGTTTTGATTTTTCAAGGGATCATAATGACTTTTTTGATTAGGCCAAAGGCTTTCGAGCAGCATTTGGCTATACAATATCTTGCAAAGTTATTTGAGGGCATTGGCCCCACCAGATATGCATGTGGATGGTGGCTCAGGAAAAAATAAATGTCTGTTACAGCAGTATTCTGCCTCATAGTGGAGCTAAGAAGAATTAAAATCCCATTGGATGGCTGGATGCAAATCCACAAGGTTAATTTTCAAAAAGTGTCTTTCTTCAAGCAAAGGCTCTGTCTATCATCTCCTGAGCTAATAGCATCCATCAAGGTACTAGAAACGAAAAACTAATTGTTTGTTCACTCATTCTTGTCTCTTTTCTACAATGAAGATTTGAGTCAGAGAGACCTCAACAGACAATGGGATTTCAGGGCAGTGGCATTAGTTAGCATTAGTTTTAGAGAAGTAAGGCCTTAGACTAGAGTTGTTGTAGACTAAAACCTTTCTAAGAAACCTGAGCTTCTACTGTTTTTCATCAAGTTGCAATGCATTTTACTCAAAGTCCATGTTGGAAGAGGCTTCTCAGAATATGTCAATAGTCCTAAAGAACCAAAAAATAACACAGAGTTCAGTTTTATACATTCAATAGGATTTTCTGTTGACAGATGTGTCAATGATAACTCTCCAGTAGTTAGTTTGGTCCACTACTTTGATTTGCATTTTTCCTTGAGAAAAAAACCACTTACCATGGAAATTTTTGTCTTAACCTTTAGCTAAGGGACAACTAATTTCAATCAAAACCTGTTAATTTTTTCTTTTTTGGGCTTCCAAGTTACAGGCAAAGGCAATTTTGTGTTTTGTGGCCAAAACTTACTGAAGGTTGCTAATTTGCATCAAAAACTTATACATGAACAGTTCTTGACTAAAGGAAAAGAAACCACTTCCTCCTTTTGCTAATGAAGGCTCATTATTATAAATCTGGCAAGCAAAGACCTAAGAAAGAATGAAGATGCTTTGTTAATGTTGCAAAGCAATGGCTTCTATAATTCATTTACTGTTATTCATATTGTTGCTCGTCAAGACTGAGCTATACAGTAGAGCAGGACTCTGGGTTTCACAATGTGAGTTGCAGGCAGTTGACATTGAATGTTATATTTGTTTGTTTCTTGAATTTTACTTTATAAATTTTTTTTATTTGTTTCAGTACAAAGTTTTCATTCATAAGGATTCTTCATAGCTTACCAGTTTGTTAGAGTAGAAACAAGGATGGTTTTTGGCCTGCCAGTTCTACATAAATATACTTGTGTTTCGTACAATATAATGTGACAATATAAGACAACTGGCTACACTCAAAACATTGTTATTTTAAATTCGCTTATTTTCCTCATACAATTTCAAGTTATTTTACTGTTCTACATATTCTTTCAAGACATTAACCCCATATTGCTATTCTATAAGAAAGTTTCTGCTATTATTGAATTAGTTCATAGATTTCACAAATAGGTAAGAATATCATTCTCCCGTATTCAGTTTTGGCACATTATTTTAGGGTCTTCTTGATATGCAAAATGATTTCAATAAAGAAAAATATTTGGGCTAAAGTTGGGCTACCTGTTTTGTATTTTAGACCTGGAAACGGATATGAATTTTCCTCTCGTCAGCAATCCCTCAATGCTGTCTAGGAATTGGTAATAAGATATGTATACTTCATTTTATGAGTAAGAAGTTGTGTGAAATTATAGCTTTTAGGTTCATAAGAGAAAATTAATTAATATTGTTGATTCGAAAATCATGCCGGGAGAGTTTGACTGTGCTAAATATGCAGATGAATAGCCACTTGACCTTGTTGTTTAAATGAGACTCATTCTTACATGTTAGGCTTGGCAATGGTTACAATTATCCTACTGGTGCTACTCGGTCTCCAGAAACAGAGGGACTCCTTAATGGACAAGTGTCTTTTGAACGCAATTTGCATGTTTGTTCTGAGCAGGATGGACTTATTTCCCATGAAAGTAGAAGCCCAGTGTTAGCACATGACACAAGAAGGGTCGAAGAAGATGATATTGGTAAAGAGGCACAGTATGATGAGACTGAAAGTGACAGTGAGGTTAATGTTATAAGCCGCAAACCACAAACAGATCATGTGGAATTAAACATCTGCACTGAAGATGTAAGGCCTTTACATTCACTCTGATTAATCAACCATGCAGGCAGCAGTCTATTTGTAGAAATTAGATCTGTACATTTGTAGAAGATGCAAATGGGGAATTGGCAACCATCTTTCTTAGTTGTTAAATAGATTGTAGATCAAATAATGTTTTCATTTGTTTATATTTTGGCATCACGCATTGGCAGAAAGTAGAAACTTTTTGTAGCTTTTTCTTTTGCTGTATTCCCGCCAAACCAAACATGAACCATGTACCTAATAAACACTTGAACCAAATAACTGTGATTAGATTTAACTTTCTGGTGTCATATAGATTTCATCTAACCAGTTTAACTAGCTCAACCAACTGGTCAAAGACATTTGAATCATTAAAAGTAATATTAAAAAATGACTTTAAATCATAAACAATCGTGAATAATGCTTTGATTTAGAACAGAAAGTTTATTTTTTGCAGCTAGTAAGTATGTCTTGGCACCTTAAGTAATATGGCATTGGAAATGTGATCAAAATTGTGAATGTTTAGATTCAAACAGGCTAATGAAAAGACATAAGCCAACTTTCGTAAATAATTGTCATGCTGGTTGTTGCCAGTGGATAGCTGAGGAATGGAATCACTTGCCCCTTGCCATCAAGGAGAAAATAGAGATGTATATGTGGTCCATTGTCTGCCTAAAGAATCCACACCTTCTGATGTTAATTTTGAAAGGACTAGGCTCGTCTGAGGTATTGCTATTTAATCTGTATTAGAAATTATTATTAGTGTTCAGTACCTACAACCTTCATTTCTCTTCTACCTTCTGTTGTACAAATGACCAGGTTATTTTAAATATCAAAGAAATAGCTTCAGATATTAAGTACCATTGTGTATGACATTGCCTTTTTCATTTTTTATTGTTGTAGTCGGAACCATAAATTAAATGTGATTAATGTTTAATCTTTTTGTCATTATATTACAATACCTAGTATACCAATACATCTACTGTTTGCTCCTCACTACTAGGCCCAGATAAATGTTTTAAAAGTGCAGATAGTTTGCTTTAAGGTGAATTTATCTGTGTCACAATTACCTCCATTGAAATAAAGGTTTGGTACAATTTTATCCCAACTTTGTTCATTACAATCTTTGTTTGTTGGTTTAGTTAATGTTTTTAGGAGAATTAATGGATATATCAAAGATAATTATGAAATACATCAACAGATATATATGAAATCCTGACTGTTTTGCCTTATTAATAAAGTTTTTAAAAATAATAATTATTTTGACATCAGTTAGCCTATTTACAAGATACCTACAGAAATTGAAATAACATGACAGTTACAAAATAATTAGTAAAAGCTAGGAATTTTTGTTGATTTAAAAGAAGACCAATTTTTGGATAGAAATTTAAAAAAAAATTGTTTTGCAATCCTTAATCATTTGAAAAATGGCATTGCACAGGTCAAGACTCAAGCACTGAGAGCATCAAATAAAATGCCAAAATACTATGCAGATGTGTCCTATATGCTACTATGCAACTGAGTAGAAATAACCATGTTAAAGTCAAATGCAGCATCTCAATTACTAATCGTGCATGAAATATTTTTTGTTAGTGGGAACAACATTCTTGAAAAAAATTGGTTGTCAGCTTTTTTGCTTGAATTTTTTGCCAGGAGGGTCACCAGGCATGTGCCAGTCCCTACTGATAGGAACCATGCTTAGCTTTCAGTTCACCATATTAAATGTCTATATCAGATATTTCTAAAAATGAAAGAAAGTCTCAAGAAAGGCAGAAAAGGAATCACAAGTTGTAAATAAGAACTGACATTAAACTAAATCATTGTTTGCTATCACCTATCCAATTGCTTCATTACCCAGAGTCCATCATTGAGATAGTGGATATTTTCGACCCCTATTCCTTTGTTTTTTGCCAAGCTACAGAGGGAAAATAAAAACAAATATAAATTTTAATATGCTAAGGGGTACACTAATCAAAACACCCGGTATTCATATATAAACAGAAAATTACTTCATATGCTATTGATGTTGGTACCTTAAGTGTAGCCCAAGGTTATCTGCCCTACTACTGAAAGCTCTAATAAAACAAAATAAAACAGCCTAAATGCGACCAGAGGGAGCTCTGTCAGGGAATTAAGTTAAGACTGAAACACGATTGGAAAGTGTAGATTGTGTAAAAACCTTAATATGAAAACCAAAATGATAACATGTCTCATTTAAAAAGAAAAAAATCCAGAGCGGCAACCCACATTTCATTGTGAGTACACTAGTAAAAAGTAGTAAAAAGACCACTGATTATTTCCAATACTCCATTACAACACTGTCCCTTTGGATTAAGTTTTGTTTTTTTTAAGTTATGTTTGGTTAACATAGCTATATGCTGATTATTTTCAATTTTAAAAGTGTAAACTTTCAATTAGGGTATTTTTCAATAGTCTTGAAATTCAAAGATGATTGACATAGGTATGCATATATTGATCTTATGATGATTTAAACTGCTTACATATTTTCAGATGACATCTTGGTACATCCAATGCATAAAGCATGTTCCTTTCCCTCTGCTGTGATGGCCTGGTACAAAGTTAAGGATTTGTTTCATAAAGTACTGGTGGTAAAATAACTTTTAGATGGATACTAACATTATTGAGAAAGTTTCATATTTGTCTTTATTGACAAAAAGACAAGGAAAATCAATTTCAAATACATCATTTGATATTCCTAAAAGGCTAGTAGCTGACCAAAAAGAAGTTGAAAATGTAAGATTCTCTTTATTTGCAACATTAGTATGAAAAATTCTAATAAACATAAGTCACAGAAAAACTTGTTCCAAGCATTTTGCTTGTTGGAATGATTTTAGCTCCAGGTGATTTAGCCCTTATCATTAAGAAAGCACTCAATAATAGATTTAAAGAAACGCTACCACAATTTCATTTGCTTCAGCTGGATTCAATTTGGCTCCTGGTGAAGTAAGACCAGGGCACATTATATTGGCTCCACTAAGTACAAACTTGATTGCTCCTTTATCGACTTGCTGAATGGGCAGCAAAAATGGATCTAAAATACAAAAGGGAATGTTGGCATTATATTGGTAGTCTACAAATTGCACCCAGCAGCTTGTAAGTTTCAATTTTTTTCAACCCAGTGTCTAACCTTAAAAAGTGGCAGTGAGAAGATATTGTCTAAACATCATATTCTCACATTAGCATTATTAGATTAGCTTTGAGGTCAGTGGTGGCGCCAGGGGAGGGGCTAGGGGAGCTACAGCCCCTCTGTTTAAAGCATCTAGCCCCCTCATAGATAAAATTTAAGGTTATTGTTGGAGCAAATTTGACAAAATAACATACAAAAACTGCTTATTTTAGTCATTTTAGCCCCCCGTCTGAAGTTCCAACCCCTCTGTCAGAAGATTTCTGGCACCATCTCTGTTTGAGGTTAAAGGGTTATTATTCTAATTTATACTTGGCATACCTTATTTTTAGGCACAAGAGCACACATTACAACAGGATCATCATGAGAAAGCATGTACAAGTAGGATAAGAATTTTATAGAAGTTAGAAAAATGATACATAGGTGCTTTCAAATGTATAATAAGGTTTTTCCAATGTTTCTTTTATCTATGCAATAAGGTTTTTCTAGTGCCTCCCACGGCATTAAACCTATTTCACTGTTTAAACAAACAATGCCATTTGATTTCGAGTGGTCTTAAAAACTGGTTTAATTTTTCAAAAATAATCAAGTTTAAACATCAGAATATTAATAGCTTGGTCTCTACTTACATTTGTGGATAAGTCTCAAGGATGGAATCCATGGGCCATCTCTTTGTCGAAAAAATAACAGCTCTGACTTGACTGCAATGATTTCTATGTGTTCATGACTAAAAAGAGGATTTGACAAATTTTTATCAATATTATCATATCACTTTATTTAATTGAGTTAATTGATCATAAATGTAAGTTTTCTAACTAATATTATAATAAAAATTCATTTTAAAATTTTGTCTTTTCATCAAAACAGTCTTTACAATGGTAGGCACTGTGATGCTTCCAAAAGAGGTGTGGAATATAACTCACAATAAACAGGAAATGATACATACAAAGCCAGAGAAAGGAATAATAAATAAACTGCCTTTAAAATATGATAAGGCTTGGGATATATAGTCAAAAAGAGACACACCATTTGATGAGAACAATGCTTTCCTTTTTTGGTGCAATTTCATTTATCCATTTTTCCAGTGGTGGATACCGTTCAACAAGTTTTGTTCTGAGTCCTCTTTGAACTGATCCCTTTAATTGTGTGACTCCAGTAACATCATCTTTAGCAAGAAATCTGATACAAATTTGTGATAAATAGCAGTTAAATAAGCATGATTTTATCAGAATGTAGGAAAGGCAATAACAAAGCAATGAACCAAATAACGAAACTACATTCAAATGGTTAACCAAACCAAGATTTCTGGAGTGATATGATAAGGTTAGCCTCAGGCAGGCTACATTTACAGGTAGCTTAGCACAATTACAATAAGCCTTAATGACACCTTCCATCTTTCTGTTTCAAAGGTAAATCTGACCGAATGTAAAAGTCACACAGTGTAAAGGCCATGTTTACCAGTTTGCTCTGCTAAATTAGAAGCATTACCTATCATACAAAAATATGGCAATGCACAATCTCTTATCAAGATTTGAATGCGTGTCACTTTAATTCTTTATTGATTTTTTTCAAATGATTTTTTATTGATTTTTTCTCAATGATTTTAAAGATTGACATAACTGCAGTTTTATCAGTGGTTGTTTGATTTTACATCAGAAATGAATTGCTTGTTTGCATATAGCTAAATTTTCAAGGAAAATTATTGGAAATTGTTAACAGTGCAGGAAAATAAGTGCTAAATAATTATCTAACTCTAGATGACAACACTTAAAATGCATTAAATTTTTAAAAATTATCTTGCTTAGAAATAGAGATAGGATATGATTCTTTAGCTTTAATTAAAGAATTATTCAGAATTTTTACCTACAACTTTGTTGTTGAGTGGCCATAGCTTACCAGAGTGCATGTTTTCTTTGGAACTTTAGAAAACCATACTTTAAAAGCATGGGTATAGTTAGGAATTTTAAATTTAGGGGAGGGGGACAAAAATGTATTTTTGTGATAACTTACAGAGGTAATGTACAAACATGTAAAAACCAACACAGTCATGGAGGATAGGGTTAAGAGGCAACATGTGCTCATTTTCAAACTCATTTCATCTGCACATTGCAATTTACATTGCAATATTATGAAGACCCCCCCCCCCCCCTTACAACCATCCTATTTCAAACATATCAAATGGAATCCTACTTGGTTTGAGTCTAACCATACACGTTGCTTTTATGATAAAGATGAGCTTAAAAGTACAGTAGGTACCTATGCACAAGATCTGAATCGAAAATTGAAATCGCTCACTAGATTTACTATTGCTCTTATTTTTCTTGTTATCAAAATAGTCAATATAATTTTTCAGTGTTTCCAAGGGCTTAACAAGCATATTTTTTTCATATCATAGCTAGTCTTTTGTCAATCAAACAAAGAACAAAATTTTTTAGAAAAAGATGAAGCTAAAAGGCAGTAGGTCATATGGGAATTTATTTTTGACATGAGGGGCACCATTTCCATGAGAGCGACAGCTCTGGTCCAACATCGCTCTTTATTTCACACAGTTATCAAAAACTTCAAAACAGTTTTATTCTGGGAAAGTTACTGACATGGGATTATTTAGCTCCGGCTAACAGCAACTTTTGCAAAACAGATGGAGGCCATATGAAACCACACATACTGGTAGGGTTTGGGTCAGGATCAGTATCTGAGAGGTATGCACATGTAGGTTTGAGTGCCGCGTTATTTTGTTTAAAAGCCTAACATATTAGAGAAAGAGTGATTTTTTCTAACATTTATTATAAACATCGAAATGAATCAAAAACGAATCTGAGATGACTTTTTTGTTACAAAATATTCTCTTACATAAAAGATGAACGTTATTAAAAAGCTGTCTGTCTAGTAACTTACTTTTTAAACATGATTTTGTTCACTTTCCAAGCCCTCTCTTTCCTCTCCACAAGCACACTACAAATAAATTCGTAAGTTCAGCCTCGTATTGACCTTTACGAAATCCAATATGGCCGTAAGCGGGCAACGTGAAATCAAGCCAGGTAAAACGGATGACAAGCATGTAGAAGGAAAAAATGACTCTAAAAAGCATGAATTGCAGGCAGAATTTCGAATTGGAGAGCAGGTGCTATGCTACGAACCAGATCCGAGCAAAGCTAAAATGTTATACGAGGCCAAGGTAAAACCGTTGTTTAAATCTCGCATTCGTCCGAACTCCAAAATGACTCCAAACCAGATCAATCAATTTTATTTAACAACAAAAATTACTTACAACATAATACTTTATATATATAAGTATCAAGCATATAATTTTCACAATGGATTTCAATCATAACAGTATTTTTGAATAATACAATGATATAAGATGTTGTCCCTTCCCTAGGACACCTTAGATGAATTATAATGATAATAATAATGACAATTTTAGTTTGGTATACATTTTGATATAGTTTTAGTGAATTTTTTAAAGTTTTATTAATTTTTTGAGTTAATCATAACAATGCAGAAAAAGTATATATGAATCAAAAGGAACAAAAGAAAATAGCAGCAGGGCCGTAAATCCCGGGGGCGCAGGTGGTTGGGGGACAGGGGACTGGACCCTCCCAAAAATCTGGAGCAAATAATTTTTTTCAGGAATTAGCTTAATTTTCTTTTAAAAAGGAATCCTGGTAGCTGGGCTAGAACTAAACTTAGTTAGAACTAAACTAAGACCAAGAACTCTCGCAACGTCAAGGGTCGAATGGTCCGTGATTACAGAATTGCGTCAAAACAGATTTGCCATGTTACGTAAAATTACAACAAATGTTTCTAGAAAATTGAAGTTTGAAAAGCTTTTGGTACACATAGCAAGGAATGTAATAAAGAAATACAAATATGTAAACTGCATTAGAAAAAAAAGAGCATGCATTACTCCTATCAATTGCTGTCGTAGATTAGCTTGGGTCAAGGCTGTTAGCCTTTGGAGTGTTGAAGATTGGGAAGATGTTGTCTTTTCTGATGAATGTCGTTTTGCTCTCAGAAATAACGACTGTGGAAGATTGAGAGCTTGAAGGCAGTCATCAGAAAAGGATGATCCTCATTTTTTTCAACCAGTCTTTGTTAATGGTCCTTCTGTGATGGTATGGGGGTGCATCACATCAGCAGGGGTAGGAAATTTGACCGTTGTTGATGGCACAATAAATGCTGCAAAGTATTGCACCATGTTAGATGAAAATCTGCCTTTATCGTTAGAAAAATGTTTTGGTGACAAAAATATTCCCTTCATCTTCCAACATGACAATGCTTCTGCACATACTGCAAGATGCACCATGATTTATCTCCAACTCTGTGAGATCCAGCGACTCAGATGGCCATTCCAAAGTCAAGATCTGAATCCCATTGAAAACGTGTGGGGTTATATAAAACGCAAATTGAAGAATAATCCTCCTAGAAATACAGCTGAACTCATCAAAAAAATATTTGAAATATGGGAAAATGTTCCAAGGCAGTACATCAAACGCTTGTACTAATCAATTCCAGCCAGACTTGCTGCTCTGAAGAAAAATGTGGCTATTTGACCAAGTACTGAAAGATATTTCTGCTTACAAGCACGTTTAAGAACTGTTGAAATGTTATGATTGTTTTATATTCGATCGGTGGCACCTACATGCAAATATTTTTCTCAACTGAGAGTAAACACATTGTATTTCTCTTTTTTCGAAAATATTTGTTTCTCAAGAACGAATTTGTAAAGAATTACACTGTTTCATTGGTCAATTTAAACTTGACTTCTTATGACCTGACTTTGCTGCACTTTGTTGATTTGACATCAGTTGATTTGCATAACATTTCTATTGCAATGGCTTCTTATTTGAACAAAAAATGAAAACAGCTGAGAAGAGCAAAAGTTTTGCAACATTTTAATGTCTTTGTTAATTTTGGAAGGGTTTATCAAAAAATTATTATCACTAAGTTAAAAAATGGTTATCGCCAGCCTAACTTTTGTTTTCCTCTGAAAGCACAATCGATCTTCGAACTGTCCGCGTACCTTTGTGAGGGGAGTGTATTAGAATGCTAGAATTTTTCCCTCCCCAACGTCTGTGACTAGAGTTTTGGCATGACTCTTCCCTTACCAAATTTCTCCCAAGAAACAATAATCTGTGTTATTCTGAGAAACGTTGAGTTATCTATCCTGAGCGGTATAGAATTCTGTTAAACTTGGTCAGGGAGATGTTTTTTTAGCCTCTCTAGAAGGTATGATTTCAAAACTTTTCTTTCACGTCCGACCCAACCATGGTGGGTCCTCCTATGTCATTAAACTTCATTCTTAACACCACGGGTTCAATTTTGTGCTGCCTTTTTCTGAAAATGTTATCCATCAAATTTTATGAAAGTCACATCCTGAGGAATATCTGTAAGTACCTTCTATAGAGGTGAAAAATTCTTAGAAAATCCAATAATCTTGATTTTTATTTTTAAGTCGTCCCCCCCCCCCCAAATTGACATGACAGATTTCCGGCCCTGAAGAGCAGGAAAGGGATTAGGAGGAGGGGCTGAGCGGTAATATACAAATTATGATACTTGTTTTGGATGGAAAAAAGGTTGATTGTAAGTCAATTGTAACAAATTTTTGAAGCTAAAGCTTATTTGCTTCAGCAGAATAGCTTTGCAAGAGGTAATTACAGAAAAGCTTGCAAAAAGTAATTTTGCTGTGTGTTGATTTTAAATCTAGTGGAACTTGATTCCAAACCTTTGCACCATTGAAGGCCAGAAATTTTTTTCACAGGTCAGTTCTAACAGTTGGCAGGAAAAAATTACTGCCTGTAGCATGACCGGTTTTGTAGTTATGCCTTTTGTTGGCTTTTACAAAATGTTTATTTGGACTTGATTAATCATTATCATTGTACATGAATTTAGCTGTTTCCAGTTTAAAGCAATCTTCAAATTTTAGAAGTTCAAGTTCGGAAAATAAAGGAGTAGCTTTAGATTTCAAATCTTCAAAGCACATTATTCTAACAGCCTTGTTTAAGCTAGAGTTGATTAGTCAGATATCTAGGATCATTACCCCAATCTGTAATTGCATAATTAATATGAGGAGTGATGAAAGTATTAGAAAGTTTTTATCAGAGAAAAAATGCTAGACTATTGTCAGCAAAAAGATGGAATTTCAAAATTTCTGAACAAGTTGACATGTCATTGATATATAAAAGAAAAAGTAGAGGGCAGAGGGACGCCATTGATGAAGACTTTCTGGATCAATCAGAGAGATATGATTTGAACCAATCTAAAGCAGTTTCTCTAATTCCATAATGGTGAAGCTTAGATATTAACATCTCATGATCAACTGTGTCAAATGATTAGTCATTGTAAGATCTAAGAAAATGCAGCAAGAAATTTCTTTATGTGTAAGACAGGGGTGTCAGACTAAGTTTTGGGTGCCACCAGCAAAACCTTAGATCACAGGCAGGCCAGATGGTTAATTACAAAATGTATTGGCAAATTTTGTAGTTAACTGTAAATGAATTACATGAAAAATTGTTTTAAAAGTTACATGAAAATTTTGTAAAAAATGATCTATCCAAAATGCTACATTTCTGTGTGCAGAGTTTTTTCACATCAGGCATTTAAACTGTTAGCTAATGTCAAAGAATTTCATGTAATGTTCGTCAATAAACTTTGAATTTATATGTTATATGATCAAATACGTTTGCATAATGATGACAAGTATGACCAATACCAAATTTTGATAATTTTGGCGCGAATGGCACTCCATAGACATAGTGCAGGGGTCAAATTTCTAAAAAGTTATGTCCTTAACAAGGGCCAAAGAAGATGCCCTGAAGGAACACATCTGGCTTGCAGGCCATATGTTTGACACCCTTATTGTAAGAGAACAGGAATGTCTAATCAAATGTGTAATTTAATGTTGCATTGTAAATTTTGAACCTGCCATTTTACCAATGACAAAAAGGCTCATGACAACATTGTCACACAACTTTTACCTCCTCTAGTCTAATTTACATCAAAAGACTTTTATAAATCTGCCAGCTTTTGTTCCAACTTTCGGAGATTTACACATCTTTGGAGAAGGTTCATGATTCATCTCAAAAGATTCAAACAGGAGAGCTGTTTTGGTCAGAATAATAATTCATCTCCTGTTTTGAGAGCATTCACAATCAATCAAGGCTGAGATTAGGGCAACATGCTGGCCTTAGTTTGTTCCTAATCCAGGCAACTTTCGATCATAAATTAACCCATTTTGTTGTTATGGAAGATATAAATTATGAGATCTCCTTTGTTACAGTTGCTTGAGGTAGATGTCACGAAAGATGAAAAAGGAAATAAAGTTCCAGAGTTTTTTATTCATTTCATTGGGTGGAATAAAAGGTACATATACGATATGCATCTAATTATTATTGTCATTGCAAGGAAGTAATGGATAGTTTGCTAAAATATTTTTACAGAAGGCAAGTATTTGAATTTTTATGGTATTTGGATCCAAAATAATACTAGTTATCCATACTCATGCACTCTGACAATTTGCATGCTTGTCTTCCATTATCAGTAAAACTTGAAAATATTTGTTCCTTTTTGCTATTTTGCAAGGCTCATTTTTGATGAGTGTTTTTTAGATGTCCAAAGTTTCTACTAGAACATTCTGCTATAAATTTTGGTGCCACAAACAAAAACTCAAGCCATCCAAAATTTTGCCAACTTTTTTTAGGTAGTCTACCATTTGTAGGGTATATATTTATGGTTTGCATTTTACTTTATGGCACCTCACTTTCATTTTTTGATGTTGCATTTTTTGCCTGTCTCACCTAATTTTTTCTTGATTAAAAGGCTAATTGAAAAAAGCACTATTGTCGCATGAATAATTTGACTTGAAAACAGACCAACCTCTCTTAAATGTGGAAAACAAAAATGGAATGACAGAGTGTATATTTGCCTAGAAAGTCTCCTCCTCCCAGGGGCAATTCCCATGCATTGGTCGCTCCCACCCTAGCTTGGCTTAATTCATTAGCGACAGCATATCAACTGCAAGCCTGAGACAGAAATATCACAAAGAAGCAGTATGATGTGCACATAAGCCCATTATTGATTCTTGAGCAAATTTAATGTCTTATTATTAATGTCAAAAATTACAGTACTGAATGTGATATTACCAAGTGGTTTCTTGGAAAGGCAGCACAAGTCATGAAGTTGATTTCTTTTAGCTGGGACAGATGGGTCTTAAGTGACAGCGTATTGAAAGACTCTGAGACAAACAGAAGTTTGCAAGCAAAGCTCTATGAAAAAGCACTTGGGTATGTTCTTCATTTTGTTACCAATACAATAGAAAAGTTTTAATTCGACTCATAAACAATGTAATTTTTGGCTTGATAGATGCATAAAACCTGCACTGTGATTCTTGATATATTCAAATTTTTTAATTTTGTCATCAGTAATTATCTAATTCAAAATCATGATGACAATAAATTATACCCACAACTGATCGTAGTTTGTGTATGGGAAGTTTTAAAATGTATAGGATAATTGAAAATTTTTCCTTGGTGGTGTTGTAAAGTTGAAACCTATATGTAAAATGAAATAAGTCAGTTGGGTAGGCGAAATAATTATATACTTCCTAACCAAACAGCCTCTGGGCAGGATATTTTGTCATGGTTTGCCCTTTTTCTTCGTTTTATTGTCTCAGTAGTCAATCTTTTGGTGGTACAAAACTTGTAAATGGCTTTGAAAAAAGCAAACATTTAGTAAACTAAAGCTTTTCGTCTGACACTCTTCAGAGTTTAAAACGTCAGAACATAGATCGAAAACTCTACGCTAAGAAATGTATATACCCATGTACCCATGTCTCAGTAGTGTTTGTCGAAAAGTTTATGAGTTTCTTTTGCAAAAATTATCGTGTTTTGAAGATGTCTTAACAATTTGATTTTCATATGATAAACAGGCCGAAAAAGAGACCTAGAGCAAGAAAGCGGAAACAAGATGACGATTTTGAATCTATAGAAACAAACAGCCAATCAAATCAAAGTACAGCAAATAGCTCGCAAGCAGAGGTATCCATAAATTCAGATCTATTTTTTATCTGTGCTGTAGTTTTCATTTCCGTAACAAGCGACTTCGATATGTCAGTAAAAACATATCTTTCAAAAACAGTTTGCTTTTCTCATTTAACTTTTCTCAAATATTTCTATCACAGGGGGAAGAATCTTCAGATTTGCCTGTTGTTTGTATCAGCATTCCTCATATCTTGAAATGCAAACTGGAGGACGATTGTTATCTCATCAAAAGAAGGAAAAGGGTTTGTATCCCTTCAAACCCAATAGTAACCTAAAGATTTTCATCGCCTATTTCTCAGCATGAAAACGAGATATCACCTTAAAATCTTGCAGAGTTCTTCAGCTCATCGTTTCACAAAGCTTTAGATTTGAGCATTTTTTTATTTAAAAGTAAACTGTTTTGCAAAATCTCTTGCTCTATATTTTCGTTAGAAACTTTACCTTTGTCCTATGTACTATTTGGTGTTTGAACCCTTATTGTAGTTAGATTTTAGGTGAAACATTATCCGATTGTTTATTGTAGTTACTCAAGCTACCAAGAGCGCCCAGTGCCCTGAAGATTCTTACAGATTTCTTGGAATTTTGTGAATTGCACGAAGCAAACGAGAGTTTGAACGAGGTTTCATATTTACGAAACGTGAAGTGAGTTTTTTCAAATGGCAGCCAAACCTAAATACTTTAGTTTTAGCGCAAAAATTCATCGTATTTTATAACCTAACTTTTTGTTATTGCTTTGAAATTTGTAAGACGCGCTATTTTCAATGAACAGTCTTTCATGGAGGGCATTTTTCCATTTGGTTGAACCTCTGACACATTTCGAGCATGACGCATTTCTTTTTCATTGCAGCATTGAAATTGTTCGAGAAATGGTCCAGGGTTTGCAGACGTACCTCAACTTTACGTTGTCAGCTTTGCTGCTTTACAATTTTGAGCGGGAGCAGTATTCTCACATTTTTCCAGATAAACAATTTACTGCTATACCTAGTCCGTTAAAGTTGATAAATACAAAGTTTGATGACACACTTCAAAATTTGCCAGCTACACCGTCAGAATCGAGTGCAAGTCCACGTAAAAAACGGGGACGAAGATTCAAAAGAGTCGTCTCTAGAGAAAAGCAAGAAAAATGCTCAGGCGCAGAAGGTTCGGGAGTGGGTGGACGGTTTTCTTCAGGGGTACTTGGTATTAGAAATGAGAAACTGGATCATCTGAAATCGCCTCCAAGGCGCAGGGGGAGGCCTAGCTTGAAAAGAAAACTGGAACCACCTGTGAGTGATAACATGCCAGCTGACGGGCAAGTTAGCACAAGGGTAAATCTTTCTTAATGTATTTGGGTAAATCTTTCTTAATGTATTTTCATCTGTTTTATGCTAGTTTTGGCGATAGTAGCCCATTTTTTCTATTCAAGAGTTTCTATTCACCTTTAGGTATATCCATCAAAAGACTAGCTCCTTGAGCCTTAGGTCTAGGACTTGAGCGCTTAGATAGCTGTTTTTGCCTTGTAGACAACCTGGGTATAGTGTAGGTTTTGACTATATTGCTCATAGGTTTGTCGAAATATGATTGGTAATTAAACAGTATGGACTGTAAGTAAACCCCCAAAGAGTCACATGCTCTACGAAATATCAAATTTTATGTTATTAAATCTTCTAGGGAGTCTGTATAAACTAATTTAGGCCCTGGCTTTGCTGCAAATTGCTCTTGCATTAATGATTTTTTATGTCGTAAAGTAAAGGTTAAAATTAGTTTTGATTCGAAGGGATCTGGAAAGTAGGCGAAAAAATGATAAGGCAGTGCACTTAATAACTAGTTTGTTAGTTTTTGCCAGGTGGCTAGCCTTATATTTCATTATATTGAAGCTAAATGTAAGCTAATAAACTGTTTTGCTTATATTCACATGCAGGTTGGTAAACCTACGGAATTTCGAATTTCAGCAAATGTTGTAGCTCTGGACAAAGTTTCTAGAACAGATTCGCATGCAAGTGAAGCCAAAGCAGAGCAAGCTGACAGTGATCTTGGCCCAAAAGACCACACTGTCGATGAAGCCATAGATTCATCTCAGGTACACGGCACAACAGAGAAAAGGGAGATGATGCACCAGCTAGCGGTGGAACAGTTGTGACAAATGAGGAAAACATCACAGTTGATCAAACTTACGGTGCAGTGGAAGATACATATTTTTGTATTTGAGCAATATTATTAGCTAAAAACGTTATTAATGATAAGCTTTATAAGCCTATGTGGTGTTAAAGGCGTTGAAAGTGTTTTGAAATTTGGATTTTGATATACTTTACTATTGTTTTGCCAATTTCGTCTCACTTAAAGCGGGTTATTGTACTTGCTGAAGAAATCTTAATTCGATTCTTTAGATTCCGAAGGTGCCATTCGAAATCTCCGCCCAAGAAGGTCTATTAACTCAGAAGCTCACCCTAGACCTTCGAGTAAAAGCTCTGCTTCAAAAGAACAACATGCCATGCCTGTTGGTGCATCTGCTAGCTCTATGATGACGTCAGAAACCACTGCCCCGCAGCCAATGACTTCAGACCAGATGCAAGACCTACCGGTGCGTATAGCCAAACTTATTCTCTCTTTTTAGATCACCGAGATGATAGTCGAAAAGATGAATAGAAAGGAAAGTATTATCTTTTTCCCCAGTTTAAAGGTGATACTTCAGCTATTACAATATGCAACAACTTTGAATAGAAGGTGTTGAGATGTGGTATGCTTACTTCCTGTCATGTGCTTGTCTTGAAACAATATTTGCAAACAGAAGATTCTTTTTTGGTAGGAATCTCTTTCCCGTTGTATCTCAAAAGAGCAAGAGTCGTCATTCTCGCCTTTTCCATTAAGTGCGGTGGATTCAAAAAGTCCTGCTGAGATTTATGGTGCGGAACATCTGCTACGACTGTTTGGTGAGAAAATTCTTCTTGTATCTATTCCACACGTATAAGAAAATGTTGTATAAGGGTAGGGATATTTGCTAATCCACACACTTTTCTTTGCAAATTAAAAATTTCCTTTTAGCTCCCAATTGATAATTGACCTGATATTTATCACGATAATTGACGAGATAGTTGTCTGTAGCGTAATGTGAAAGATTTTCGTACTGTTTTGTAGTGTGAGGTACGGCTTGGGGCCATGTAGAGCGGGGCTGCCCTCTTTTGGCTGTTGGGCTGCCGCAACCTTGAGAGACGCTGCGGGCTGGGTGCCGTCTGGGGGGTTTTGGTGCATGGCTCTTGCAACGGCGGGATCCGGGTTCCGCTTGACGGGCTCCCTGGATGGGGCCTGATGTATGGTGTTCTGTGGGTTGGTTGTGGCTCTGTGGCTGGGGCGGCTTTGCTCTGCATGGTTTTTCGTTGTACCTCAATGTAGCGTAGTGTTGATTGGTAAGGCGTGGTGTAGTGTTATGTTGCGTTCTTTTGTTAGTTAATTTAGAGATTATTGTTAAAATTCATTGTAAGTGCCATTCTTAGTGGGGACTAGACGACCATGTGTCTTTTCCCGCTATGATTGGCTCAGGTTATTGTATTGTAGTTTCTTTTAATATCCTTTATAAAAAAATATTTATCACGCTAAATGTTTTAACAATGCTAATCATCATGAGTTGCTCTGTACAAAAAGGAAAGGGCAGAAACAAAATACCTCTGCATATGCTGTTCTAAAGGCTAGGGGTCACGGGCTTCGAGTGCCTCTTCTCTTCTCAAGCTTCTTTAGCCCCTATGATAGGAGAAGTTATGGTGATTAACCAAGTTGACTTGAATTTGTGAAAACGCCACTAGATTAGGCACTCAGCTTTATTTTTCTTTAACTTTTAGTGAAATTGCCATCGTTGATCTGTCGAACAGAACTGGACACTAGAAAAAGAATTTTGCTAGTCGAATATTTGGAGAAGTTTTTAAGGTACTATTCTATTGACTTTTTTTTATATACAATTTTTTTAACTTGAGCTGGTTGAAGTAATGCCAGATTTCATCAGTTTTAAACCATGGCCTTAAAAGTTGTTTGAATGTACTTATTCCATGAAAAATAAGTAGAGTTCTCGCCGACGTAGAATTCTTATTACACTTTACCCACTTACGAGTGGGTCATGGATCAGCTGAGTTACCTCGAAGAACCATCTTACTCTGAAACCGACAGTTGCAAGTCAGAGAAAAAGTACTTGTGGTTTTCGGACTCTTTGTGAGATAATTTGCTTCAAGGCCTGATTTTATAGATGCTATAAGCCATAATGTGCTCACTACCAAACTTTTTTCTCAGGTATATTGCAGAACGAGCCAACTCGCTATTCGACTCAAGCCACTATTCTGAATCAGTAATTTAACTTCAAGAGATGACATGTTTTTCACGTTATCATTTGGCCTCTCTCTGCACAAGTATGGACCTTTTTTATTTATATTGAACCTTAGTATATTTCTTTATATCGCAGCTAATTATTCCTATAACATATGAATTTCTTTTGTGTTGCTCATACATGCTGCAAATCTATATGCTGCAAGCAATTCGAGGCAGTTCTGCCTGCAAAGTACAAGTGCGGAGGTGTCAAACAAATTTCTAATCTGGAAATTTTTAATGCTTCCTTTCCCTGGAATCTTTGGTTGGGTATACAAAAAGCCAAGAAATCATTGTTCATTTCAGTGGGTTAATTGTTCCGGGTAGGCAAACAGAGTTTAATTCTTCTCATTACACTGAAGTCCAAGTCTGCTTCTTTCGGGCAACTACTTACAGTCAGCTTCGTGAATTTTAATAATTTAAAGTATGCTTTCAGTGAGAACAAGTATAAAAACTAGGAAATCACCACATAATGTATAAAATTGGTTCTATGTCAAGCAAAAGAAAACATACACAGAAATTCAAGAACTAATCATCGTAAACTGGATTTTTTTGGAAACTCTAATATAGTATCATCGATTAAATATTATCTGTAATTTTATCTCGTAACTCTGATAGATCTTACAAATTTAATAATTTCAAGACTATTAAAAAACCTATAGTAAATGAAAGATGTTAAGCACCAAAAATTGTCAAAATGTATGAGAGTCTAAAAGAGTTTTGTTGCTTTTATTGCAAAGGGAAACTATATACGTTCACGTTAAATCATTTGATGCTGATAGATTAATGGCTAAATAAGGCTGCATTGTCTGTTGTCTTCAAGGTTCTAATCTAAGCTAAGCCAAGCCATGAATTCTGATTTAACAGCATACAACATACGGATAATAAGTGAATACATACTCGACTGCAATAATATTTAAATATACTTCTTTTACTTAACGAAATTTCAGCAAAAGACTTGCTTAGGTCAGATACCGCAGGTCTTTTTGTTTTCGCTTGTTTGGTACACCTTGTGGCCTTTTATAACCAATTTAAATAGCTATAAAACTCAAGTTCCTTCTCATTTGTCACTTCATTTTCCTCTCTTTTTCATGGCTGCTTTTGCCATTTGTGCTGCATAATCTTGTTTTTTTGTTTCAAATTCTGCAATATCTTCTTCCTAAAAGCAAAGAGTGGTGATGTATTGTACTTTTATAATACGTTCACAGCTTCTATACAATGCACTTGGATGGAGATGTTGTTGGTTTGGCCTTACCTAAACATTATTTATCATTATAAGACCTTAGCAGAGCAAGTCAAGAATATCCTATTTAACATGCTTTATGGCGCACCGATTGTAAAAAAAACGATATTTTATTGCTCCAATAGGTGAAATGAAATCTTCTATGTAAGCAGCTAGAGAGGTAAAAAATCAGTACACTTAACAACAAATATAAATCTAACTGCGAAATGTTCTCCATTCATGCCAGCATTTTGATAAATTTTGAAATCTTTTAAGATGAGTATAAACAATTCTACAACAGCGACTTTAAAATAAGATCTATTGAGCGAATTAAAATGTGGCAAAGGACGAACAATAAATGAAACGAATGACGTACCAGTTGCTTCCTCATTGCCTCTATCTTTTTCTTTTCCTCACTCTGTGCTATTTTCATGTCTTCAAACTTTGCCTTTAACTAAAAATGTGCATTATTAGCATATGAAAATGATAATTTACAGGGCTACAATATTTAGGCATAATAACCAAGCACTGACAGGAAGACGTAGGCTAATCAAACACAACTGCACATGGAACCACCATCTAAGCATGAACTTTGAAAAATATAACATCAAGAGGAAATATGAAGGTTTTTCTTAGAAAAGTTAACAGACCTCTTGCTCTGCAACATTCAATTCGTTTTCTTTTTCTTTTACTTTTTGTACAAATGCTTGTCTTATGATTTCCTCTTTTTTCTGCAAAACATGCATGTACTCTTCTCGTTTATGTTTGTATGACTCTTGGATGCTGAAACAAAGGCAATTTTAAACCAGCAAATTAATAACTATAAAAGTGGGAATTTAACGGAAATTGTTTTTAATGATTGGGGTTCATGTAAGTCTAAAACAAATAGAAACGTGATAACTGAAGATTTGTACATATAGTTCAGAAGGCAAATATCAACTTGGTTATGACAAATCTGTCGATACACACCTGTCTTGACCATCATCGAATCCTTTTTCTTCTAGCTTTCGTTTACGGTAAAGTTCATAGTGTTTGCGATGAGTGGTTTCAATAAGATCCTCCATGTTTGTTCTAAGAGTAAAATTCTGAAGTCAGTAATGCAAATATTGGCTGGCATTTTATTAAATTCATCAGCTGGTACATTAAAGTTATATGGTTATCTTAATTTTGAGCAGAATTGGAAATCTGAATGTAAAATCTACTAGACCAAGGTCCTAATCCAAAGATATTTCCTAACAAAAAAGATAGCTAAACAAGAAAAGACCGTTGCAGTGTTGTTAAACATTAGAAAAAACCTAACATTTGCCAAGCTTGCATTTTGAAAATATATATTTTAGGTAGTCCATGGGTAATTTCTGCCTAGGAACATGTGCAAATGCTGTTACATAACCTTAAAATTGCAAGGGATGAAAACCATTTTTCCATAATAATTTGAAGGAGCTTTGCCAACACAACCATTCTTTGATTCAAATACAAACGAATTAACCTACCATTTACAAAAATTAATGCATTACTTACCTCAGCATCATTTCACGCAGCTTTACAAAGTCACAATGGTTTTCGTTTTCAACTAAAATTACATAAATATTTTAGGTAGAATTGCATTTATATTTTTATCAACATGCAACAGTTTGGATTTAACTTTAAGACAGGTGCAGGGCTTTCACGTTCAGAAATCAACGCACGGCCGAAAATTCGCGTGATAAGAGTGGGGCGCCCGAAACAAATTTATTTATTAACACAGAGCAATAAAGTTTTTTATATTGAAAACTTTTATTAAATGAGCTAAATGCTACACATTGTATAGTTATGAGCAGTGGAAACAAGGATTCGATGTCAAACTTCCGTTTTTAAAAGAGTTTTTCAAGTGGATTGACCTATCAGCATCCGGTAATCGCGCTCTTCAAGAGGAATTTTTATCACTGGGCGCGCAACTAATCGCTCTCAAAGATATTTCTATTTATTTATTTTATTAAATTCTTATTTCAACATGATATCCCATCAGAAACCTTAATACAAGTTATGATAAGCTAAAAAAACTAATAATGGCAGACAAAATTTTTAAAAAATTATTTAATAATATAAGTGAATTGAATTTGAGGTCTAATCTTCCTGGGAGTCGTGTTTTAATTCAGGTTTCCTGAGCTCTTCAAATGAGCTTTTTTGTTTTTGTTTGAATTGATAGAGCGAGGGGATCTCCCTTCGATAATCTCAGGCATGTGCCTGCACGCTCGCGCACCCCCAATTGAAAGACCTGCAGGCAGATAATTCTATTCAAGGAAAATTATGATAAGAAAATACAGCCATTGACTTTTTTGTTGTTTATGTTGTTTAACACAGAGTAGTATCAAAATAGGAGGCTATCTGGAAAGTGGTTTATAGCACTTACCAACAACAGTTCCCCATGGGTATTGTCTAGCCCGGCACTTTTCACCATTTATGACGACTTCTTCTCGGCTCCCAACAACAGCAAATGGAAGTTGTTGCTGAAAAAAAGAAACATAGGCAATTTGAGCAGCTTCATATGAGAAACTAGATATCTTAAAAAGCAGTGCAAAGTCCCTATAAAATATAATAAAATGATTTAACAAAGTATTAAAATCTTATTTCGATGGCACCAATTAAATGGATATTTCTCTAATCTCATTACCAATTTTATATTGACAATGACAATCCTTTAACCAATGAAAATGCCACAAGGGAACCTTTGTAAATCAATTTACAATGAGGTACTTTCTTAACAGTAACTTATTGTGTTTGATTAAGAAATCAAACTGAAAAAAGAGAGAAGGTAACAGAAAATATATCTTATCATTGCAACTTATATGTACTTACATTCATTTGGTTATTCATATCTGCCACTGTTTCATCATCAGTTGGAAACCGATAAATCTCCACTGCATTTTTATTCAGTTCATCCATTATCTGCAAAAAATCAAAGATCAAAAACTCAAATTAATGTCTGATTATTTTAGGCACTTATATGTAAGTGGAATTTTAGTTTTAACAGCATCTCACAGAAAATATTTTAAAAGTGGCATATAATTGGGAAAAATAATGATAAATTACATACAATATCCTTCTCATCATTTGCATACTCTGGAGAGGAATTTTTAGAAAGATAAAAGAAAATTTTTAAAAAGAGCCATAGACATTTTACCCGTTGCTTGAATGTCTGGAGCTCATTCTTGGAAACAGTGTCTGCTTTAGCAATGATAGGAATGATGTTAACCTTCAAAAGAAAATAACAAGCTGTGAATATAAAAAGTTATTTAAATGCCATTCGAATTTAAGCAACTATCACCTTTGAAACAGATTCCAACTTCTATGCATGTAGAGACACGTAATAAAATCAACTTGTATTGCAACAAAAGATTTGTTTTAGGATAATATATACTAGCTTAATACCTTCTTATCAAGCCTCTTCATGCAAACCAGATCCAATGACTTTAGCCTTGAGAAATAACAGAGTTGTTATTACAGGTTAGTTTTGCATTCAGCAACATTAATAAAATTGATACCCAAGTAATGACAGAAAAACAAGGATGCACAAACCTCGGGAATATGAGTTATATGTGAAATATGTGAGTTAACACATATTTGTGATAACATATTAAATATAACATGTTATATGTGAAATATGTGAGTTTACACATATAATTAATAGATGAGCAAACATATATTGATAATAATAATTCTAATAAAATACTTACGAATGGCCAGTTGGTGCAATGAAATAGAGACAAACATGAACTCTTGTATCATGGTATGACCCAAGAGCCCTTTTGATCATCATTTCTTCCTGAAGATATGCCTCAAATTGCTTGTCAATGTACTGTAGAATGGCGTTGGTGCTAAAGATGGTAAAAGGAACCAAGATTTCAATGGTACTTAATGTACTGAATTAATTTCAAATTTTTTGTTCTGCCTTTACGATAAATATAAGATAGAATGAAAAAAACATGAAAGTCTGCTATAACTGAAAAAAGTGATTTTTTAATGCATAAACATTGCCAGGGCAGCTCTCTTTGGTTGGTTTTTAGCAATGAGAGAGCTCCTGTAATTCCTCATGTATAGTATAATATCATGTTATGACATATATACTCAGAAACCTTGTAAAGATGCTTTCAAAGATTTCATCTAAAGTGTGGCTGCTACAGTTATTTTTCAAAAAGCTAAAAACTCAAGTTCTTGCAATCAAAAAAGACCCCCAGTAGGTAAACAATTTTACTGATATTTTGCAGTTAGAAGTTTACAGCAAAATGTCAATGAAGTTGTTTTATACTAAAGTATTTTTAATATTTTAAAACTTTATAGCTAGGTGCAAACTATATAAGCAACAAATACCTGTCTTCTTTATTTATCTGGTCACCAAATCCAATTGTTTCAACAATAGTTAACTTTAAGGAAACATTGCTTTCCTTTAAATCTAGGACAAGGCAAAAATGTTCTTGATCTTATTTTATTCAAATGTAGGACAACAGGATTATTCAACCAAAGGTCAGACCTAAACAGTTGTGTTGGAAACCTCAAAGACAACCCACGAGAATACCAAACATTTCACATTAATTGATAATTATAGATATAAAAAAGGAAGATGTTTTTTTGCTTTGCAAGCAAACATAGTAGTTTGTCCTATGAAATGTTGAGCAGATTTGGTTTAAGTAATAATCAAGGCAAGGAAAACTCACTACAATAAACCTAAATGGTCCATATAGAGCCAATAAAAACAACCCATTGAAACATTGACATTTATGAAGCATTCAATCTGGGTTTTTTGGCACAACAAACTGCTTGTATATAAATTTAATGTCATAGCAAATACACAAATAAGTTAATAAAGAAAAATACCATAGGTGACATCTTGAATTTGAACATTGGGATTCTCATGATTATGAGGTTCACCTGAAAATAAATATAAGAACATTTTGAAATTACAAAACCAAAAAAATTCCAGAGAAACAATGCATGCAGAAAAGGGCCAGTTGGGGTGGTTTCTCCTTCTGCCCTCACACATTTTACCAGTTTTCTTTACTTTATCTCCTTAGAAGTCTTGACTGCTTGCATTCTTTTATGTCTTGATTGCTGGCATTAAAAATATAGAGCTTATCTTTAAGGCTCTATACTCAGAAGCAGACAAATATGCAGAGATAATATAATATACTGACTGGAATTTGTATAGATACATAATGTTTTATGGCATTTGTATTAAAGATATATTATACAGAGTTCTCAAGGAAACTTTCTGTAAACTAACTAATCGTATAAGCTGTTACCATTCTCAAAACATTTTCCCATTGAGTGCCGCAAAGCAAAAAAGCTTATCCATTAATCTGTGGTTATTACTAGAACATAAGTTAATACACAGTTTTGAAATCTAACTCAAAAATAGACTAGACTTGCCCTCAAAAGTTCTTTTGAACAATGAGTCTATCAGTGTTGATTTTCCAACTCCAGTTTCACCTTTTGTAAAACAAGAAAAATTTTTAATGGAATAAAAAGTCAATCATATAATATTAGAGCCTTTATTCATGATAGATGATCGGTGTTATGAGTTTCATGCTTGCTCTCATATCAGACATATTCCAATGGCAAAATATTAATAAAGCTTGTATCAAAGTATCAAATATTCAGTAGGTCAATGCAGACTGGAGGAAATTTTTGCCACTGTAAATATGTAAAAACAAATGTAAATACAGCTTTTGGTTGGAGTCAAGCTCCAGATTGCTGGATAAAAAATAAAGAGATCATTCCATTGAGGAAAACAAGTAAATTTAAAATGGCTTTGAAAAAAGTAAAAATTTTACAACATACTGGCTAAAAGCTTTTTCGTTTGACACTCCTCAGAGCGAAAAACGTTAAAATAAAGGTCCAAAAGAACACAATGAAAAATACATCCTCAGTTATGGAACAAAATAGGCCAATCAGCAAAACGCAAGCACAAAACCGGTAAAGTACCAAAACATCTAAAACTGGCAAACAACCAAAACATCTAAACCTGGCAAGGAATCATTTTCTTCCTTTTGGTTGGTCATCTTTTCATCTAACAATTTTGGAATTGATCTACATACAAACGAAAAAGCCACTATTGTGTAGAAAGAAGGTAGTTTGTTTTTTTTATTTGGATTCAAGTGGTAATTTTTCTTTAGGCATTCTGCATTGATTGGTCAACTTTACCAGTCTTGTGCTTGCGTTTTTCTGATTGGCCTATTTTGATTCACAACTGGGTTTATATTTTTCATTGTGTTCTTTCGGACCCTTATTATGACATTTTATGCTCTGAGAAGTATCAGACAAAAAAGCTTTTAGCCAATATGTTGTAAGATGTTTGCTTTTTCAAAGCCATTTTCAAGTTCTGAACCCCACAAAACTAGTTCACAAGTAAATTTCTAATGCTTACCTGGCAGATTTCACTCGAGCCAAGGCAGTTGTTTTGTTTTGTTTTGGCTCATAAGCCTTCATCAAAGCAACTAAACTGCACTTATATAGTTATTAAGTTTTAAATCATAGATCCAGGCAAAGCGCAATGCATACAGTCTTGCCTTTGTGCAACAGCTTTTCTTAAGTAAATCACTTAAAAGTATCCTAGGTAATTCACAAAAATTAGATATCATACCTATGCACAAAATGTTGAAAGAAAATCCTTTGTTCACAGATTTATTAACCAGCTGATCAGGAAGACTATCAAATCCTACGTGACCAGTTAACTTCATGGATCTGGCATTAGGACCCTGAAAAGTTTTGTATAGGTACATTTAAAATTTAATGTTTCTATATTATCATAATCAAGTAACTTGCAAAAAAAGGAAAACTGAACATTTTACACAGGCCTGATATTGATAATAAAAATGTTAATCAAATATACTTGGATTTTAAGAGCATAGTTGAGTTTCTTCATAAGGTTAATCAAGAGGCTGTAACATTCTTATCCAGATAGTGTGGCATGTCTATTTGAAATCCTTAGTGGAAAATGGTAAACGTAAGTGTTGTGTATTGCAGAACCCTTTCGTTAAACAATATTTCTTCCATGGCCTCCATTTGGTCTGTCGTTCCACCCCCAGATCTTTTTAGACGAGAGGTTCTCCTGATTCCAATCGTTTACCGAAAACAATAAAATGGACTAGAAAATGTGTATGAAGATCAACATAGTGTGCCCATAAGATTCCAATGAAGCTTTCAGTATATCTTGTTCATTCCTTGTCACGGTTTCTGTTCTCCTGTCGAATTATTCAAAATTAGGCCATCATCAACACGATCCCTCGCTGACATGTATAGCACAACTGAAGAGGGCAAAACTGAAGAAAAAACAAACTACTTTGCTTACCAATGAACGGAAACTGTCGATTTCGCCAACCATGACTTCACTGCAACAGTACTTCAAACAGAACCATAAATTTCGGCCTCATACACGCCCTGATGTTTTCATTCACTTTCTCTACAGCTGCCGCTAGACTCTAGTTCTTGCGCATGCGTGGCTCTTTACCGCGAAGCCATATCCGGAAATCTTTTATGAAACCCACGGTGCGCGGTCAGCGAAAAGAAGCGAGCGTTGAAGCTAGGCGTACACGAGAGCATTTTGCCTAAGCAAAGTGTCATCCGTGGCACTTTGGTTAAGCATTTTGCTCCTGTGTGCGGCGACTTTTCAGTAAGAATTTAGGCATTCGTGACCGAAAAACATAAACATATATTGGCAAAGAAAGTTCACTCGATTTTGCCTGATACGAATGCATGGGCTCCATTTTTCTGGCGATTTTAGAGCAATTTCTCTTTAACATCAAAACATTCCACTATTATTGAGAGAAATTGAAACCAAAAAGTAACATTTCCCCGGGATCAGAACGAGAGTTGCAATATGAGACAAAAGACACAAATTCAACAGTGGAAAGTTCGGTAGTGAAGAAATTCTATGCTGTCGAGAAAGGATACCTGTTCTTTTTGTGAAAGAACAATTTTTTTAGGTATCTCAAATTCACAGGCTATAGTTAGTTACAGCGATGCAGTAAAACGTCAGTAATTAGTATGAGGAAAATTATTTTACTTCAGTGATGTTAGACTTCGTTTCTAACAAGGTCTAGCACATTCTCCCTGTTTATGGGCAAACTACTAAGAAACTTTTACTTCACAGATTGTAAAGAGCGGTTGCCTAATTTTCATGTACTTACAACAATTAAACATTGCAAAATATTTTTAAGGATTTTTGAAGTTGCCTGTTGCAAAAGAACGGGAAATCATTGTAATGATGTTTTCAAAGTACTTGTAAACATTAAGGCAGTTTAGTTCTCAAGTTACATTGTTTGTAACAGAGAAGATCGTTGTTTGTTGTAGACGTGCACTGAACCTAAATTAAAATAAGCAGATACCTACGAATGGTTTGTTGAGAGATCCTCAGTTTTATCAAATGTTTGAAGCTTCAATGTTAGACTTGTTTGAACTGCACTTAAAATGACGTTCATTCAAACTTGACGTGCCAATCTCAATCCAGTGTCAATGCGTAGATTTAGGTATTCGAAAGGAGTAAACTTGGTTGTGTATTTTCTATCTAAGTGTTACATTTGAAGATAAATTATTTTAAAGTCTGATAGAAAAATTTCTTCCGTTGTTCTGAATCAGATTGGCAATTTTTTTTGTATTATATGGTACTCAAAGACGTCTTTTTCAGGAGAAGAAGACCAGAAAATCTTCAACTAGTATGATATATGACACTAGATTTTAAATAAACGGTAAAACTTTATCTTCTGCTTATTTCAGTTCTAATGTAGTTATGTTATGTTCAGATTCATGAAAATTGAAAATGCTTATTTAGTGTTTTGCCCCTTCTACGAAATTCCCTATCTACGACACTAGGTGCATATTTGCTCTAAATTCCAAAAGTCGAGACATTTTGATTCTTAATTTTGTATTTGTATCGCTTATCAAATCTAGCTCAGTTCAATCGCTTCAAACGGGGTTTACAAAGACGTCAAGAATGAATCTTCTACAAACAGCATGAAGCAACATAGCATCAGACAGCTAACGCAACATAGGTTACACAACATTACATAACAAAACAAAACATAGCAAAGCATAACAAGACACAATGTAACGTAAACATTACTTAACATAACATAACTTAAAATAACAACATAACATTACACTTTACATAGCATAGCATAGCATAGCATAGCATAGCATAGCATAGCATAGCATAGCATAGCATAGCATAGCATAGCATAGCATAGCATAGCATAGCATAGCTTAGCATAGCATAGCATGGCATGGCATAGCATAGCATAGCATAGCATAGCATAGCATAGCATAGCATAGCATAGCATAGCATAGCATAGCATAGCATAGCATAGCATAGCAAAGGATAGCATAGCATAGCACAGCATGGCATAGCACAGCATGGCAGTACTATGATTTTTTTGACATTTCAGGGGTCGGTTTTTTATCAAAGAAACATGTATTGGCTTTCTTGAGAAACAGTACTGTGTTCTTTGCGCTATAGGCCCACACGTTAAAAAGAGTCTTTTCCTCGCTAATTTTACTCGACTGTTTACAATAAACGTTATTTTTTATTATAATACTACATTTAAAATTCTTTACTTATATTTCAATTTAAATGAAGCAAGCTGAAATAAAATTTGGTAAACGTTTTCTCTTAGTGACAACTTTGATCAAATGTTTATCTTCAACATTGATTTCGAAGTGACAGGAGATATAAAAGCCGCCATCGATGAAAAAAATAGACAGTTTAAAAATTACATTATTTAGGCCTGTTCTTTTCGTTCGTTGTATGTTTAATCTGTGATAGCACTGAGAAATCTGCCAGCTAAAGAGCTTCGTCTTGTTGATTTGGGGGTGGATGGGGAACTGCCGCTCATTGATGCCGTTTCCGCTTTCGATGTGCTTTTGTCTTTTACATTTAGAGTTTCTTGACTCGTAGCTTTTCGCATAGGCACTCCATTTGGCACAAGATTCTCACGTGTCACCGGATCTGCTGTTGCTGGCCGTTCGTTTGGTCTCACTTTATGGGGCGATGCAGCGCCGCCAATAACGTTCATCGCTTCTAGAAAACCATAACAATTTTTTTTCCAATTTTGTATCAATCATGTAAAATAAATCTGGCAGAAGTAACACTGTTTACCGAATAGTATGTAGAAGACTAAACCCTTTTGAAATCAGACACTCCTGCATCGAGGATAAAGCCACGATGTCTGCTTCAAAGCATTTTGTCATTTCACAGAATTACTCATCCTATTTTATTCTTCTCGCGTTCCGAAAAATCTTACTTAATAATGCACAGATTCAATAACTAGGCACAATCTTACTTAACTATGCACAGATTTAGAGGACCCTTGCGTAACTCAATGAAAAGCACCCTTGAGTGACTGAGGCCTTCCTCTGTAAATATTTGTATTATTATTATTATTATTATTATTATGTTCAATTCCATATTTCTCGAATTAGTTGTTGAATTCAGTAAATTCCTTGAAAGCAGGTAGCAACAAGCTACCAAAGGTTTCAAGGCTTCATTCTCCGTGTCCTACATAGACATATTATTATTATTATTATTATTATTATTATTATTCTGTACTTCTATATTTGGCTAAAACCCTTTCAACACCTAGAAACAGCTCACTTTACGCCGACCTGCCTTCATTTCTATCACCTTCTTTAATCACAGGCGACTCCTATCGATCAGATCTTGTCTTCGTAACTGAAGATCGAATCCTTTACATGCTAGAGCTTACTGTTGGGTTCGAAAGCAACATCGACGAAAACAGTACTCGAAAAGCTAGGAAATATAGCGATCTTATCAAGGAACTGAGCCCTGCCTATAAACGTGTTACCTTTGTTAACCTTTCTATGAGTGCCCTTGGCATTCTGGGAACCTCATCTACCTCTCTCTCTGACATGCTACACCAACTTAATTTTGACTCAAATCAAACTAAACCCATCTTGATGAAACTCATGAACATTTCTATCCGCTGCACCTACTATATCTTCTGTCGTCGAAACAAACCATGGCTAAGGCCCGAACTAATTGACTTTTAAATATTGTAATGCAGATAAGCCAATTATATGATGCCTGTAAAAGCGAGTCGTATAATTGTAAATTTAAAATGTATTCAATGAAAATGAGATGTTTAAAAAAAATTATTATTATATTATTGTTATCATTATTATTAATATCATTATTAATATCTAAACAGGTTTAAGTATAACATTTACCTGATAGGACTGCTGATGTCGTGCTATTTATGTCCCTTTCAAGGTGAGGATGGAAAAGTTCTTCCATTTTCTTGATTACAAGATCCACTATAAGCTTCATATTTTCTTTTATTTGATCTGTGCTGCCGGTCATGCCTGTGTCTGTTACCTAGAAGCAAAATTGCATCAACATTGATGTCAATCATATTTATACCTAAACTTACTTGTGCTCTAAATTGTCCGTAGTTGTCTTGGTTCTATTAACCACTGTTTTTTGTACATAGAATAAGAATGGAAGGAATGAAGAACTTTGCACGTTACCCTGCACTGTTTTTCGATAGCAACAAACTCATAAAAACACTGAAGCCCATTTTTGCAAGAAATGAGAACAGCATAAAATAATACCCTGCTTCAAATGAAAATTTAAAAGAAGCCGCAATCTATGTTCAGAGTTTTCTCTCGAGCTAAAAAATCAGAGCATATTTTATCAGTCAACAAACCCTGCTGCTATAAATGACATGCAATTCTTGTCATTCTGCTTTTAAAAAGAATTGCATTCTGTCATTTTGTTAGTTTAGATGCAATTAAAAGTTTGAACCAAATAGAAGTAAGGAAAACGTTAAAAACACCTGAGCCTTTTATCCAGAGAATAAGAACATCGATTCTCAGCATAGATTACCTGCTTTTTGGTACTATTTCAGTTTATATGACGTCAGCAGGAAGCAGTTTGGTTTTTGGCACAGAATTCCATTCCAATTGATTTATAGTAGCTGTTTGGCTTTGGCACAATGGATATGTCTTTGAAAGTTCAACTATTAACAGTGACACTACAGGCAAAACTTCTGCTATGTATTACCTCGATTATCTTTTCTGTGTTATTCTTTGTATGTATTGCTTCAACGCATATTACATCAACACCTCCAAAAAGTTTGCTGCATTCATCTGCCCACTGTTTGTACCTTTGAAGAGCCAACAAATAAAAGTGTCATAGCCAGAAATTTTCTTTAAATCACTTCTTCAATTAGCCGCCTGTTTGCAATCAGTGTAAGTTATATTAGTTGCTTTTTCAGGTTTTATTTTCGATAGCGAAAATTAATCCAAAATTTCAAAGCTATTTTTGCTTATCACATAAACGTTTGGTTTGGCTGCATAATCAAGTTTTCAACCACCGCAATGTGCATTGGTTTTATAGCATTGCAAAATTCATTTTTTACAAGAAATGTTCAACATTGAGCATAATTCAAACTTTTCATGTATCACATTTAATCAGTAAACAAGATTCTGCTTCTGTATTAGTTTTCCTGCCAAAGATCCTGACTTCCTTTTTCCCGCTTATTTTGAAGAGATTTATTAACATCTCCTACTTATTAACCAGAACTTTTTTTCATTTTTTGAAGAGGTACATCCTTAAAGGATATAGGTTAAGATACTGGCAATAAGCTCTAAACTTTTGCACCATACAAGGATGAGGAAAACACAAACCTGTCTGTTAGGGCAATCTCCTCGACCACTGAAGTCCCTGTGTTTGCTTTCCATGAATCAGAAAGAGACCTTCGCCTGTAACGAGGGTAATATTTGAAAATGATTCACTTCTCAACATTCTGCAATTTTCGTCTTGCTTTGAAGAACCATTCTTTATCAGAGTCGCAATGGCTAGGGATAGTTTAACAAAATTTTGACAAAGTACTCGGAAAAGAGTTTAAAAATCTAAGAACTCAGGTTTTCCGCTTTTTTGTTTGTATTTAAACTGATTCAATGGAACTTTTTTTCACGAACAGTATACCCTTCCCTTGGTAGCTTTTCATACTTCTGACGTGATGTGACATTGTTTAGGCCATTTGCTAAGGAAATTTGCTAGCCTTGTGCCAAAGTTCTTTTCTACCGTCAATTACACGTGTTTATTCTACATTGGTAGTTTTAACTTGGCCATATATTCATAAAGACACGAAACAGAGCACCAATGGAATTAGAGGTCAAGGCTTAGTACCTTTAGAAGTCTAAACTTGTCAGATGTCGACAACATAGTTATCATATGGGGATAGTAATTTCATAAAAAGCTAATGTAGTGACAACGTCACAAAAGAGTTCTTAAATTTTGGTCACATAACCTCAATGAGCATCATAGAGTTTTTCTTAATCTGCAAATCAGCCAAATGTGCTGGAAATGACAGGCCGTTCCAATCGAATCACCGTAATTTGGTCAAACCAAACAACAGTAGTCCGTTAGCAAACATAAGATCTTTCGTTGGCCATATCTCATTCAATAATTAACACATTTAACTGATTTTCCATATTTGAGGGCGTTTCATGGTTTTCCTTTTAGGCTATGTGGTCAAAGATCAAAATTTTAAAAAAGATATCTTTTTATGACGTCACACTTAAGAGCTCTGTTGATGACATACTTGTAAACTTTGTAGCTTCTTCCGATTTTCTGAATTCGAATGTCGTATTTGCCTTCCAAAAATGGTTCTGTTGTGGCATATGTGTCAGAAACAGCAATTATGCTAGCAACGTCTTGAAATCCTCGCGGGCTTGCCACGCAAACCTTAAAAGATCGCAATATCCAATTAAATTAAATTTTTTTCTTAAGATTAACAATTAAATGAAAGCTTTTTTCAGGTAAGCATATTTCATGTTTCTGTTAAATGCATGTTATACCTTTCCAAAGCCACTGTTTGCACTACCGACTTTCACCACCACAGGTAATGTGGGTGGAAGCATCTAGAACAAAAGTGAATACAATTAGTAAAAGCTTTACTGAAGCCAAACCTATTTCTATACTTCTCTTACTGGCATAGACTGTGAAATCAAACCTACTATGCCACAGACGAGTATGCAACAGATTGCCTAGTCTCTCTACGGGGAACGCTACGTAAAAAATATGTCCCTTTTGAGTATGCTTAGGGCCATAATATGAGTCATAGGTCATTGGACAAAATTTGTCAAAACATTATTCAATAAGCAAAGATGACCTACCATTTCATTGAAACTCTGGTAGTACGTTTGGTCAATTAAAGGGAAGGAGTCCTTTCCAACAGCTTTCTGAATTTGAGCCAATTGGGAATACTGCCAAATAGAAGAATGAAAGCCAACTAAAAATTCGGTTGAGGAACTAAAGCTCTCTCACATACTTTGCATCAAAAGACAAGGCAAAGGTAGATTTGTCTAGCAATTGTACATGGTATTTATTTGTTCAATCGTGTAAAAAAATAATTTTCATTTGCGTAAAAGAGGATTCGCCCTTTCACGCTCCAGCACGCTTTTTGCTAGGGCAACCATTTCCCGAGCATGCTCGAGTGGGCAGACCCAAACATCTATCAACTTTTTCAACTCGTATATGTTGCATATCATGAAGTTTGCCATTCCGTTCAGTAGAGGCATTTTCTAAAACATTTAGACAGTAGAAAAATGTTTAGCCTTCTTCCAGAGCTTCTAAAACTTTCCTCAGAAACAATGGAAATATGGTGCGTCCTTGGTGCGGCAAACAATGTTTTGTGTTTTTAATTTCTTCGGTCGATGGCTATGTGACCACCATTTTTCTGGATTGTGGTTTTTTGATCGAAAATAATCATATCTTTAAACATATCACAAAGCAGTGTTTGTGGACGTTTCAGATCCCAGTTACATGCTTGCAAGATCTTCTATAATCCCTTTGATATCAAACTACCTTGAATATTAGTTTTGACTGTGTTGAAACCACAGTACACCAATTTGATTCAACTAGACTAATCACTACACGTTTTAGCGAGTATATTGTCTTACATTTTTTGAATCATCAAAGGATTCGCTGTTGCCTGGAATATTAAATTCTTTTGGTGTATCCCAGTATACCAGCAAATATGATTTTTCAATTGCTTTGTGATTCAATTATACTTAAAATGCTAGTTTGTTTGAATTATGAATAGCGAAAACTTTATATTTTCATCAGTTAAACCCTAACTGTTATCAAACTTACGATAACAAGACTAAAGCTCAAAGGTTCTCTAAAAAAGGATTTAATTATTCATGCAGAAAACATGAGTCTTTTGATCAATCAGAATGAAAATAGAATTAACAAATTCAATTTATTGATACTTTGTAAACATGTGTCTCTCCTACAGACAAGTCAGACAGAAAGCATTAATTGGATCGTGTTAGTTGCTTGAAACCATATCTAAGGGGCTTATTTCAGGGAAGCTGAATATTAGTTCACATGTCATATTTCGAGGTGGTGTACCTTGGTATAAACCAAGCAATGTACAAGTAGCTTGGTGTAAACCAATTCGATTTCAGAAACAGTTGAATTTTCGTCAGCACTCTTGCTTGCAACTATATAGACACACTACACACGTCTTCACTTTATCATACTGCTCTTTCTCACACTCAAATAACATTGTTTGCCAGATAGCAGAAACCGATACGCACCATTAGTGGCTTCTCCATGAAGCTATACACTGCTTCGAGTGAATTAAGTGATGGGATGTTTCCATGCATCAACCCAAAAATGAAATTCCTAGCATCTGATGTTGGTTCAACGCCACGAATCCTCTCTCTCAGTAGTACGAAATCAGGGCGAAAGGACCTATAATACAGTTGATTGATTATATTTGTTGTTCAATGAAATCTTTTACAAGTCTAAGCTGTTTGGCTTTAGTTAGACGCCTTATTAAGCACCCTGTACAGGTGTACAGTTAACTACCTTACTGTAACGTGTGAGTGTGAGGAAAAATATTTGTGGAGAAACTCAATTGTCAACATCTGAATGATGTTTTACAGCTTTGCCCCCATTGTTAAACTAGATTATACACAAAAGGGTATCATCACTTAAATAATCAAATCCGCTTACCTCGATATGATGCCACCATTTCTCAACACACGCATGCTTACAGTAACGCCTTTTTCGTTGGAGGAGACGACACTCAACTCTGAAAACGAGGCCTTTAGAATTCGAAAAGAGACAGTTGACATAGATTTTGTAGACTTTGATATCAAATTTCATGACGACTGTTTCATAGGCACCAGTAAGCATTGACATTCAAGTGTTTTTAACATACAGTTGAAAACCTTGGATAGGCATTTGGTAAAACCTTGGTTAAACGCACGAGAAGCTAATTGTTCTCTATCATAGTTCATAAAGCAGACGAGCAAATAATTTCAGTACTTCAGTATCCTTTTTTAAATGCGTTATTGATTAACAATCTGCAACTGCAAATCCAGCAGAAAATACAAAATCGTTACTCAATGCAACTTAAGACTCCAATCTATGCAAAACAGTTGGTTAGAAATTGAAAATAAAACTGAAATAGACTTGATGAAAGCTGACTTACTTGCTCTACTCTGACGTCAAATGCATTTCCGTGTAGGGTTTTTCCTTTTAAAAGTTTTACCCTGTAACACATACATAATATCAGCAAAAACGACTTCTTAGTTTGCATAAGAAGTTAATGAAGTATAGTGGTTTTTAAAATACATTAATAATACTTACAAATGAGTTCGTCTTAGCCCTAAAAGGATTTCATTAAGAGTTCTTTCTTTTGTATTAGATGAAGGAGTAACTACAAACTAAGGTCATTTGCAAAGAATATGTTTGTTTTGTGGCGATAGAAGCAGAAAGGTAGGAGGAAAATATTGCAAACTTTTGTAAGTTTTTAAAAAGCTAAAATCTATAAATGCCAACCAATTAATTACAAAGTCTATTAGAAATGAAGGTAAGTAACCTTCTCACCAGCAATTTCAACAGGAATGTAGGGAAAACTCCGGTTTATATTATAACTATCTATAGAACATTTAATTTTCTTGTTATGCAATTTTGAAGAAGATCTGCGTAATTTTCAAATAAGATACTTCTCAGGATGTGAAGAACGCAGTGAAGATGATATGATGATAATATTATATTGGACACCGGTTTTAGTCTTAACACTTTGCACAAAAATAAATGACAAGAACATTTATTATGAATGACGTGCATCAAATTATGAATTATTTTCATTGTTATTAAAGTTGGCAGTTTATTTTTCGATACAACTTGAACAATATATAACGTTTGTTACTTGAGAAAATCTTTAAAAAGAAAAAGATTTTCAGCATTTGTTGCATAAACCAAATTTTCCCTCAAAATTATCTTTTATAATCACTACAAAAGTTTAGCAATCTAAATTTGCAAATAGTGAAAGGTGGAATGAGCTTACATATGATTGGGAGATATCGAAATGTAAGTAAAATAAAATAATTTGTTTCCTGTTGAATATCTTAATCCATCATAAAAATATTTACCATACAAATAATAAAATTGTTATCTATTTCCAAATCATTGTCTGTCCCTTGCTTCGAAAAAGTAATCAAGTTAACAATAGGTTTATTAATTCATCGAGCCTTGTTTGCTGTCAATGTTTAGAGTTAGTTTCAAATCTTTGATAATTGCTGGAAATTTGCAGGGACAAGGGAATGGCCAATTGCATCAGTGGAAAATGATAGCAATGAAGTACTCAGGAGTAATTTTGTGAAGGAGGGGATTTTGTGGCTGCAATATGACCCCGTGGTAAAGGATACACAGTAAATCGGACAATGCCTAAAATTATGATTTTTGCTGTCAGTTTCGGAGTAAGTTTTCAATCTGCACGCACTTAGTTTTATAAATCAAGGCTTAGAAGCATATTACTTTATCAACAAATTTTAAAGAAAGTTTAATTCAAACTGTACTTTTAAATAGAACAAGGGTTATTCTGAGCATCATGTTTTGACCTGCGATTCACCAAGTCAATGCGCGGATAATTATGCGTTAAAGCACACATTTACGCCTTAAGTATTAGGCTATGAATAATCATACGCACCAATCATTCTCACGGGAATCCACAACTAGGAGTATCTTGTGCCTCCTTTCTGTCTCCTTTTCTTTCGAATTTGAGACACCGAATTTCGATAATAATGAAAAACCACTAGACTTGGAAGGCGTGTGAGATGATTCATCCTTATGCTCTTCGTCACTCGATAAAGCCTTGGATAGGTTTCTAAATTTGTCCATCATTCCCGACATATTTCGTTGGGAAATGCAACTTAATTTTGTTGCAATTACAGATGGCAAATGTCGAATGCAACAAGCTTATGGTAGCGTTTCTTTCAGCAGTGTTTAATTTTGTCTTTAATTCTTCAAATCAGTTCCCAACCACTTTGATAGAAATGGTCTAAAACGTACCAAGACAAGTTCGATCGCTGCAGCAAAGAAACATCAATTAAATTCGGTAACACCGCACATTAGTGTGGAACAACAAGCATTAGATCCATCTTGTCTCATTGTGAGTATGTATTGTTGGCATTCACCGTAGATTTTGTTCGTTTTATTTTCCTCAAGAAATGATCTCTGCTTAACGTTCCTTGAAATAGCAAGTACCGCCCAGAGTTTGTGCACCTGCCAGACAATGGAGTGCGCATGATCAGACACACACTCTCAAGGTCTATTGTGTTTTATGCGGATGTAATTTTGAAAAGTAGACTGCAAACATCAAACGTCAAGAAGCAAATCTTTGTGACGGTCGCAAGGCAACAAGAAGCTGGTGTGAACATGAGAAGATGACTAACACATCGGTTTCCTAGCCATGACAACATCTTACCAAGGAAGAGTTTGTCGATGTGAAGATGAATCTTATCATTGAGTCATGCTCGACTTTTTGTAATTTGATCAAGGCTCTTCACCAAAGAACAAAACAAAAACACAAGATTATAACAGGTGGCAAAGGGCTATTGTACTTCATAAACATCTCCGCAGCTGTGCTTGCCATGATTCTCATGCTTTGTTTCTTAATACCAATGTTTCAAAGAAGTTCTCTACACTTTTACACGCGAGAACACACATTGTAAGAATACCAAGGCTCGATTTGCCAAATGATAAAAACAGCCTAAGAATGTGACCAGCCACACATGGAAAAGTAGAAGAAAAAAGCAATTTATTTTCGAAAATTTACGCTTATATTGACAAACTAAAGCAGGTCTTGTCAGCTAATCAACAGTCCTTCTCTCTAGCAAAACTTTTATTTGCTGGTCTTAAATACAATTTAAAGTTCGTAGTTGTACGATAATCAGTTTTTAAATAAGAACGACATTTTAAATATCCGAGCATCAAATTATAAAAAAGTAAAAACTTCAAGCCTCAACAGAAATTAGCTGGTTCTTATAAAAGGGTTTACTTTGCAGCTTAGTGGAAAAAGCACCGTCTTTAGATTGGACAATGCGAGCTACTGGCATCCTCTCTGTAGAGCAAATGATACTAACAAAATTCACATGCTTTGTGGGCAAGATAGCTAGAATTTCCGGAATGCGGGACCCTTGGATAAGTAGACTTCTCCAAAAAATTGACTTCCATTCCACGATAGGATAAGGTAATTGCTGAAAAATATGCCCTAGAGACATCTGTTTTATGGCGAGTTACGTTTCAGCCGCCATTTAAACACAAAAGTACCTCAAAACCTTTAGTAGAGAGACAAAAATCATGACATTTAGATTGAGCATAATTTTTTGAGATTACGTCATATTACATTTCATAATACGATGTTCGCATGGGCGGAGCTTTCGATAAATGGTTTTACATTTTTAATTATCATCATCATCATCATCATAATCATAATTCTAAAAGGCTTGCTCGCTTTGATCATACTTCTGAACACCCTGAACTCAGATTTTGCCTGGTACCTGCATTTTGAAGCACATGAAGTAACTTTAAATAATAACGAATTTCTCTTTACATTGACCTCTGCAAACTGTAGTCGACTACATTAAAAAGCCCTTGGCGACATATGAACAAGAACCCTTTATTTGATCTTTGAATCAAAGTTTCAAAATTGAACGGTTGATTGTATAAGTTGTATTTATAGCTACTAAATGTTAATCTACTTATGTGAAAACAATAAACAGAAAGTACGCTCATATTTGTAAACTCAGTGTGAGTGAAGCGGTGTTCACATTCATTTTTTCAGTATATTAAACAATCAATTGATAGACCGTATTTGTAAACAGACTTTAGACGCTTTATACAAAATTTGATTCATAATATACAAAGAATAAAGAAGTCTGTCTTGCAGGGTCGACTGGCTTAGTTTTACTAAAATGATCCACTAGTGGGCCAATGCACGCATAATATATATATAATCATTTTTTCTGATCCACCACAATAGACATCGGTATGAATTCAATTCAATTCGCTGTTCTTAAATGCAGGCTTTAGATATTCGTTACAGATAACGAATTTTTCAGTTCCAAGCAGGTTTTTTGTTGCCATCCTATGGCTTCTTTTTAAGATTCTAAGAATTCTTTCGGTTATATGTCAGTTTAGCCGTTAGAAATAAAATAGCAATGGTATAACAAGCAGTTGACCAAATTTTAATCAACAGACTTTCCATTCATTTAGACTGATACATCACACAGGCTTGTGGCCCCTTGAGCTTGAACTGAATGAAGCAGTGCTTCACAAATCTCTCCCTTTCTTGCTATACAGTAGCCTCTGTGGAGGAGAGTGCACTCTGCTTCTGATATCGAGGGTGCTCGGTTTTGGCGGGAGTATCCGCAATGGTCAATAATTTCATGCAGACAGGCGGAAAAAGAAGCGTGTTGTAGCTATTCGCTTTCCAGATAAAGTGATCAGTACTCACAACAGAACTGAAGCAATTTATGTTGAGTAAGGAGTACACAGACAAATTTATTCCAAAGCCTAAAGAATTTAAAAGGTTAGTCCTTTGGTTTATTTTGGTTTGTTTAACTTGATGCAAGAGGTCAAGTGGTAAACCTCTTCACTTTGAAATGACAGCCCAGTCTTAAGAGCATGGCAATTATCAACAAGATCTTTTTTCTGCGAGAGCAAATAACGATTTGTGTATGTGTGCAAGTGTGAAGGAAAACGTGCAATCTTTTGTGTGCACATGCCAGCATATTACAATCTTTCACTGTTTCATGGGCTGATATTTAGATTTCCATTGTAAAGTTTTGACATTTGAGAGGAAAACATCAACATGTTTGATTGAAAGGTGATTTCTGAAAGGTGATCCAAGTTTTCTCTTATGTTCTTGCCTACTTTACCTTATCTTAATTGTTAAAGATACAATTTTAAATATTTGGTATTATTTTGAACACCAGAAGTTTTGAATAAGTTTTGTAAGAGGTCAGGGTGTGGGACTGATGGAACCATTTGTTATTATTTTCTACAATCTATTAGGTTCTAATTATTTAGAAAAAGTTTGATGATGTGTATTTTGTGAGCTTCCTGTTTTTTCACACCTTTGGTGATGCCAAGCAGGGTGAATGATTTCAATTTTAGATGCATTAAAAAGAATTGAAATGAAAACAGCTGCTACTTTTTCCTGTAACATTCAACTTTCCCAATTTGTATTCATAAACTATTTGGAAAACACTCCTGATTGGTGTAAACCATAGCCTGGTAGAATAATGGGCTGGTTATCCGTGAACCAGTAATGATGTAAGGCAGTGCTGATGGAACTTCTGGATTTAAATTAAGTAGCCAAGAACTCAGCCTTACAGACAGACCTACTGGTTTCCTAGAATCTTGTTATTTCCCAATATCATAAGCCAGCTACGAGTGCATAAACTCAAAATAGAATGTTCATGATGCTTTTTTCTATTGAAGGAAGGCGTATTTTTCTGGCTTACAATAAGAAATTTTCATGCGATTTATTTTTCTGCATGTTATAGATAAAAAAAACAGAAATTTCTAATATATGATTTATTTTCCTATAAAAACTTTCAATTATAAAATTAAAAAATTGAAAAAGACAATTGCTTCTATTTGGGGTTTGCAAAACATGCCCATTGATTCCGTACCCATCCTCTTCAATGTATGCCATAAGTATACCATAAGTAATATACAACCATTGCATGCAAGACATATCCAATAGTACAGTATAGTACGTATCCCTATTTCTCATGTCCTCATGTATAACATAAAAGGAGTTATTTACACCAAGACTTTCATTTGACAAAACAATGGCTTGTCAAAACCTTTGATATTTTTTCTTTCACTGGTGATTGGAAACTTTCTTTCTGGCATAAGAAATTTGTGGATGTGGGAGGAGGGGATCCTAGCTCCCGGCTGTCTCAGCCCTTGCACTGGGACTTACAGTTTTCATCAAGTTTTCATGATTACACGCAATGAAAAAACCCACATGTTTGTGTTAAATGATTCTTTAGTTCACCCTTCCAACTTGTTTTATCAACTCAACCAAACCACGTTATTAATGCGTAACTTCACTTGTTCTAGAAGCTAATCAAGAAGCATGAGAAATTATAGAGGGCTGGCTGTGTGAATAATACTTCTAAAATTCATTGAACTACTGCTGATTATGCTTTAGCATGTTGAAAACCTAACCCACGAATTCATTAATCAGTGGTCCCTGGTGTAGTATCCATATTACACTGGTGTCCTGTACTGTGTGAAAATCTCGTTTGTTATCTGGCAAAGAACCAAGCTGGTTAGAGCCATCACTTTTAGGGTTCACAAAATAAAAACTCATTTGATTGTGGCTAATGAAAATGACAAAGATATTTTAATAATTGATATTGTAAAACAATCTATGAATCGGTTACAAATAATGTTATGATCCCAATGGGACTAACGTACGTGAGCGATCTTTCATTAAAAATCTAACTGGAAATCCTAAAACGAATTTATCTATTGGAACCACAAATCGTTTGCTAGCAGAGTGCTCGTTTGTGGTGTTAGGTGCTAAAAGGGCATGGCAAAAAGAGATTTCCTCCACTGCCTGGACGCTGTCAGCGCGTGCTAATATACTTCGCTCCATTCGGCCATGGGTTAACTGGCAAGAGTTATCATGTTCCGGTTGCGGCGGGCGGGGCAGTTATCGTTTACCAAGAAGGCAAACCAAAATACCTTACACCCTCAGGCGAACAATACAATATGATTTTAATGACTAGGCAACGAGCTTCTGATTTTTGCAACAGTCGAATATACGGCGCTTTTGAACACTATAATGGTTTATATTGCCTGTCAAATACAACCGTCATCAGAAGATAAAAAATTCGAAAATCGGATTTTGATGACTAGATGACAGAGAACTTATCTTGATATTTCCGCCATTGTTCGTTGTTGATGCAAATTATGTCAAGAGAAATGCTCATAATTTTTTTCAACTTGAGGAACAAGTGTCCTCTTACATTTACAATTTAGCTGTTGGATAATTTAAGTAAGTTTGATACCTATATAAAAATTTCCCGCCGCAAAGCAAAGACTAGAGTATAGATAGAATATCTATGGTACAAGTTGGTTCTTTAAAGGATATTTAGGATCATCAGAATCAGCCGGTATATGACTAGAGTTTTGCATGACGCAAGGTTCATAGTAAGAATCTTCAAACCAGAGACACTTCCCTTTCAATCTCTTGCACATCCTATGCTTTAAATCACATTGAAGGTCTCGCAACTTTGTCACAAACCTACCCGTCCACTCACATTCATTGTCAGAAATTCGGCATTGTCTCCCGAGTGGACATTTCCTCAGCTGGCATTGACAGTCATATCCACCATTAATTCCAATCCTTTGCTGCCTAGAAATTTCATGGAAGGGTGCGATCCAGTCGCACGTATTGACCTCAATTCTTCCTCTTGTGATGCTGGCACTTAGCAAGTACTTGACCCCTTTCTTTAGCTTCACTCCACATGTCCCAGAATTCGATGGCGTGTATAAAACAGCCTTATGATGGCGTCTATTAAAGGACAATGAATCATTTTTGAACACATGTAGCTTCCTGAGGGCACTTTCACCTTTGAAGATTCTCGTTATATACGCATTGTAGTAACTCTTGCCAAAAATAACTTCGTCATCTTTACTGAGGTTCTGTTTTAGCTCGCTCCCTCCAGACAACACCACGGCCTTCATAACTATAATCGTGGGGTGGAAAAAGCAGATTTATTATAACATAAGACATCATAATAATTTCGTTTAAAATATTGACTTGAAGGCAATTGATAAAAATCGATAAAAAATGCTCCAGACAAAACAATTGCACCGACAAAGTGTAAGATAAAGAGGCCTTTCCCCTAACAACAATCTTTCCAGGCATGCAAAACCTTAATACTTTATCTGATTACGTTACCAACGTTTGATTAAGATTGTCTTTAATCAAAATGACCGAAATTTGCCTCTGGTGTCTTTCTAAGTTTCCCTGAAAAACTCTGATAACATAAGTGGCAACTCAAATGAGATAAAATAAAGTATCACCTCACCTATGTCAGTGTAATTTGAACAGAAAATTTCCTGAGAGTGACGAGGATAGCAACTGCACGACTCAGTGATCTTGAAAATGGACAAGCACACTAAAAGGAAAACTGAAGCGCTGTATAGAATTCCCATTTTCGCCATATCTTGAGACAACAGCAGCTAGAAGCACACTCTAGAACCCTTTGAGTAATTAATTCACCGTCCTGTTGCAACTTGTAAGGATGCAAACGGCGGGCTTAAGTTGTCATCAAACGCGTTTTATGTATCTGTAGCCTACGAGTTTGTTCTAGCGCACTTCACATCTCAATCAATTAAGTACTTTGTGTGACACCAAGGCTTATCATATGTTGCGGCTCATGCTAATCTTTGGTGGCGAAAGCCATTTTACCGATAATCCATCTAGAATGTTTTAAGACTTGCTTGTTTCGGTGTATTTAATATGCTCAACATTGCTGTATTCATTTCCTGTCAAAATTTGAAACCAATTTTCCGTTATAATCCTTCAACTAAGATCTGAGAGCTCCCCGCGAACTTGTTTGGGTAGAATCTAAAGTCGTCCTTACAATTTTCGACGTTCTCTATCAATAATATTTTTAAGTGGTTCTAGGGCAATTTTCTCATAACCGATTTCATAAACCACAGCCATGACCAATTTCAACTTCCTTCTTAAAAAACATATCCCAGAGCAATGAAAGAGCCATTGAAAGATCCCGTCCTCCGAACTCTCACCCTCCTTTAGACCATAGCATGAATAACTCTCGAGGAATTAGGCCAATCCATGTTATGAGATCTAGAACATCGATTACAGGTGTTTTTTAAGTGTAAACAGAGACATATGTTTCGCCAGAATCTTGATTCTTGTTTCTGTACCTTCTTTTCACAGTTGACCAAAAGAGAAAGCCATGCGTGATATGTAGAAGTGACGACCAAGCCCAGAGCCGTATTGAAAACTGGTAATGTTTTTATTTGAAGGTATTTCATGATGCTTTTTCAGGTTATGTTATCCAAATTAAAAAATTCTACGTCAATGCAAATTTAAGGAAAACGTCAAAATCTTGTAATTACCAACTTATACCTATCGTAAACATCATTCATGATAGAGGTCAATCTTTTAAGCCTAAAAAGACGCGTCAATCTTCGGCTCGCTTTCTTTGCATATGGACGAAAGACAGCTGCAATTTATTTTTCACAATCAGCTACTGTAAAATAGTCGGAGAAAAGTTTATTGTGCTTTATGTGGCTTGTGCTTCTCGAATGTCTTTCTTTTTGTAACAATCAGTCTCTGTATCACCAAGATTCTTCCTTAGATTTCTAAAGAATTTTCAACAATCTAAATATCGAGTCAAGTTTTCATTTGTATTCCATAAGAAAGTAACCACGTTGTAAGCTTGCCTTTTTCAATAACTTCAAAAGCAATATCACCATTATTTTGATTGCGCGCGATTTTTTTAAGATAAGAACATTCAAAATGGTCTAGGCTCGAAACTTTTGCATAGCCTTAAAAAGCCAAGGCAACACATTGAAATAAATTGAGCTCTGAAGAAGGCTTTCTGCTTTCAAGCAAGCTTTTACGTGAGCTCCATTTTTCTTTTTTTGTATCATTTTAGACTAGAAATACCGTTGTAACAAGGACTTGCATCCCATTGGTTTTTAGTAAACATGGCAAGTTGTAAAGCTGTATTTTATATGGATGCTTCTACCCTGTATAGACCCTGTATAGATAATGAAATGAAATAAAGCTTCTTAATATATTCGTTATTCTGAATAAAATATTCTAGATAATGTTCAATCCTTTTTGTTCTCAATAAATTTCAAACATGACTTCCATACTCCACTTTAATCCACTCACTGTGCTCTTTACATTACTAAAAGATGAAATACAAAGGTCTTTTCTCATTTCAACTCGTTAATTTCTAGACTTGTTTTTTAAAGACTGCTGTTTAAAACTTTCTCTCAAAGCAATTTTTTGTGCCTGAATATAATATCCAGAAAGCTGCCAATAAGCAATTTTCCAAGCAATAGTCGTTATTTGGCCTGAAAACGGAACAAATGTGAAAAAACCTTTTCCTGAGACTATAAGTAGTTTCATGACGAGGAATAATGCAAATGTAGTTAGCAAATAAATTGAGTACCACAAAGGAAATGAAATAGTTTGATTGTAAAAAACACGACGTTTCGATCATGTACTCATTATCAAGTGGCTAGAAAAGAAACGAGCCAAGCAAATAGAAGGCGAGATTCGATGAATAGAAAAGAATGCGGGATGCGACACAGCCGAAAAAACACAATAGGGTATGGGAGGAAAGTAAGAAAAGACTAGGAAATGGATATAAAAAGAAATTATTGAAGGAAATTAAAATGTTTATTAAGACCATTAGGGTAGGCTAAAAATTAAACATTTCTCCGAAGTCTTCCGCTTGGTGGTTTCTTATGGTTCATGCAATAAGCCAAAGATGGACATGTCGGCGGTGGAATGATTGGAGGAGTTAAAATTTTTCGATATGTTTAGCTTATCTACAAATCCTATAATGGCCCTTTTCCTTGCCTCATCAAAAGATACATCGATGACATCGTTGGAGCAACATCTCTTCCTTTGGCTGATCTTCAACATTTTATTAACTACGCCAATAATTTTCACCCAGCCTTACAGTTCACGCACTTTATTACGGAAGAAAGCTTCCCATTTTGGACATCCTCTTCACTATCTCTGGCAACGAAATATCCACATCCATCTACTACAAACGCACAGATGCTCATTGCCTCCTTAACTACGCTTCATCGCATCCAATGCAAAGACTCCATACCCTTCTCTCAACTCCGCCGTCTTTGCCGTATTTGCTCAAATGATGACAAATTTGTTTCAAAAGCAGAGGAAATGTTTTCTTTTTCAAAAACAATAACTATCTTGACCATAGTACCCAGGCAGCATTCAATGAATTAAAACAACTTTCTCAACCATCCTCCGAACAACAGCATAAAGAACATTATTTATAACAATTTCCAAATTCTTATTAATGACACTGAAACAAAGAACATCTTCAATGCACCACCACTGCTGGCTTTCCGCAGAGACAAGAATTTAAAGGACCACATGGTCAGAACAAACTTAAATCAAACATCACAACAGCCTGGTACTTTCCCCTGCCAACATCACCTCTGTCGGACTTACACACACATTAACCAACCATAACCAATCCTTCCACATCAGATCTAACTTTGCCTGTTCGTCATCCTGTGTGATTTACTGCATCATCTACCCGAAATGCCAATCTCTTTACATCGGTGAAACCTCCCGTCAAATAGACAACCGTTTTGGAGAACATTTGAGAAATGTTGCTAACAACATCCATCTTACAGAAGAACACCCAAGCGATGCAGATAGCAACATATCTAAACATTTTAACTCCTCCAATCATTCTACTGCCGACATGTCCATCGTTGGCTTATTGTATGCACCGCAAGACACCACCAAACGGAACACTTTGGAGAGACGTTTAATTTTTAGCATAAAAACTCTTTATCCTAATGGCCTTGACAAAATTTTGATTTCTTTCAATGATTTCTTTTTCTATCTATTTTCTACTCTTTTCTTATTTTTCTCTTTCATCCCTTTCCCCTATTCTGTTTTCGGTTGCGTCGCATCTCGCATTCTTTTCTATCTATCGAATCTCGCCTTCACTTTGCTCGCCTCGTTTCTTTTCTAGCCACTTGATAACGAGTACATGCTCGAAATCTCGTCTTTCTAACATTTTCATTCTGATACTCAATTTATTTGCAATCTATTGTTAAATGCACATTTCTGAGGAATAATGCAGATTGTCATTAAAATAAAGCTGGAGAAAAAAGAAACCATCACTTAACTTTTTGTCAAATTATTTGCTACCGGCCTACTTTTCGCAAAATGAAAAGCTTTGTGTATATTTACCATCTTCCAAGCCTTTCTTTTGAATAGAGTTTCAGCAACAAGGAAAGGAACCTTTATGAAACACTGGTAGCCTTTTTTTCTAAGCAAATAAGCTTAATTTTCCATAAAAGTTGAGCAGTAAAGAAAAAACTCTTTTTGCAATGCTATTGGCTTATTTTTCGGAAAGTGATTAAGCCTAGTACAAATTGCTCTTTTCCCAAGCCTATTGACTTACTTTTTAACGTAATTTCAGCAATGAGAAGAGGGACCTTTTGGTAAAGCAATTAGCTTACTTTTTATAAGGCAATTGGCCTACTTTTTGTGAGGCTATAAACTTATTTTTTCGAAAAATAATTACGCCTAGTAGAAATTTCTCTTTTTCCAAGCCTATTGGCTTACTTTTTAACATGATTTCAGCAATAAGAAGAGGGCTCTTTTGATCACGCAATTGGCCTACTTTTTGCAAGGCTAATGACTTATTTTTCGAAAAATAATTACGCCTAGTAGAAATTTCTCTTTTTCCAAGCCTATTGGCTTACTTTTTAACATGATTTCAGCAATGAGAAGGGGGCTCTTTTGATCGCGCAATTGGCCTACTTTTTGCAAGGCTATTGGCTTATTTTTCGGAAAATAATTACGCCTAGTAGAAATTGCTCCTTTTCCAAGCCTATTGGCTTACTTTTTAACATGATTTCAGCAATGAGAAGAGGGCTCTTTTGATCACGCAATTGGCCTACTTTTTGCAAGGCTATCG